TTCCTGTTTGATCATTGCTTTTACAGTGTAGACGAGTGTCTTACTTTTTTAGAAAAGAGTTCTAGTTAGTCTAAATTATATATTCCAAGATTCCAAGAATCAATTAGCCTCATAGTATTCAATAATACAAGTCATGAGAACGCTTACTGCTTAGATATTTATCTCTCCAGGAAATAACACTTCGTGACTGCTTCTGGGAATTATCTGCCTGGTGCCATCTTAAGGAGGATTGAAGACCACAGAAACTGTTTTCAAGACTGCTAAATTATTATAGTAATTTATTATTATATTTTCATAATATTATCTCTGTATTACTATATTATTATTATATTGTCATATTATTTCTGTATTATTATATACTTATTATTATTTAGTATTAGTATTAATATTAATCTTTGACTTGTCCCATATCATGTATAATGATCCATGGCTGAAATAAAATTGAATATTAACAGGACAGGGACAGGAAAAATGGATAGGCACATCCATATATCTGTCCAGTACATGCTACAACCCCAATTTATCTCATTCGCCTTAACTTAATCATGCTAACAGTATTTGCATATTTGCTCGAAGCAAGAACTGTGGAACCAGAGAAATATCCATTGCTAGGTACTGATTGCAAACAACAACAGAGGAATTGTCACAATACAAGATATGACACACACAGCTGTTGCTATGGAAAAACTGAGTAAACACATTTCTATGGAGATGAATTCATGCAACAACAGAACAGCTGTGTTTTCTGTGTGGTCTGTGCCAAGGGGTTATAAAAAGGACTGATTTGGAAATTTTAAACAGAAGACAGTTTAAACAGTGGAGACAGACTGATGGTGTTTATGTAGTATGTGTTGGGCAAATGCTGATTCATCCTTGTTTAGTCTTATGTTTCTTATGTGTTCTTTGTATCTTGTTAGATTTCTACCAGTTTGGCCGATGTATACTTTTTGGCAACTTTGGCATGTTATTTCCTATATCCCACTTTGTTCGTAGGGGTTTATTTCTCGTTTTTCATTTATTAGTTTACCTATTTTGTTGGCTGTTTTGAAGACTGTCTTTATGTTAGTGTTTTTGAATAGTTTTGTGATTTTTCGTATATAATTTCCTGTATAAGTAGAAGTGACCCATTTTGTTCCTTCTCGTCTTTATTATCTGGGTTACCCATCTTTCGCTTAAGTTTGTTATATAGATGTGTGATGTCTTCCTTTCTATAGCCATTATTTAGTGTTATATTAATAATAGTATTTAATTCTTGTTTTTAGCATTTTCCTCAAGGGGTAGTGTAAGAAGTCTGTGTATCCAATTTTTATATGCTGGCAATTTTTGTTCTTTAGGGTGGCACGTCGTGGGTCTTCTCTATATTTCCATTTCCATTTGTCTGTGTCTATTACATATATTTAAGTCCAGGTAAGCTAAATTTTTTAAACACTTTAAAAGTTTTAATACCAGGAAGGCTGCTGTGATTGTAAAAAGTTGAATATTGTGTACATTGTGTATTCCAGGCATTATGTGTGTATGTAATTTAACAATCAGAACACCTATTGTGATGGTGGTTTCCGAAGAAGTATTGATGTTCCCTCTGAAGATGATCCGTAAGTGTGTGTGTGTGTGTCTCTCTCTCTCTCTCTCTCAAGTCTCAATTCTGAGACAGTAAATTATGGTCGCAAGTCCCAAGGGACCTGGACCTGAGAAAGACTGCGCTGGCAAGAGCCAGCAGCATATACAAAAGACAGACCCGTCCTCTCGTCAGAGGAGCCCCACAGAAACAAGACCGTAACTGTCAAACGATAATAATTAATATCTGGTCATGTGCCCCAAATGGGGTTCGACACCAAGACTTACTGACTGACTGACCGTCAGTTGCAATGTAACTCTGACTCTGACTCTGAAATTTTAAACAGACTGAAAAGTACCCAGAAGAGATAGGTGCAAGTGACAAGAAAATACCAAACAACAACCCAGACTGAATTGACTTCTGCAAGTTACTGTGAGTATTAAACACAGAAGAAAAGTATAAACTGAGACACAAGACAATTGCAAAATGAAAGACATACTGTGGTCTTTTGCTGATCAAACCAATCTCTAGTAGAAAAAGGGGCAGGAGAGAGCTTTAATGAACTTTTGCACATGTATCGGTTAATTAATCGAAACAAATTGTGGAACATCTACAGAATTAAATTATAGCAGCAAGGATTTGTGAAAATAATACTGTCACTTTTCTGTATGAGTCTTTATGTTTCTATAACAAAACTTTTGCTACCAACCCGACAGAAACTACATTATTCTATCTTCAACTTAACTTCAATGATGTAAATGGTTACTGAGCTGCAAGCACAGCATAGCATAAGACTATTAACCCAAAACTGGATACTTCTATGGGATTTCAATCCACTGATAAAGCACCTCAAATCAGTGTGCCACAATACCTGCTTAAAGTAGGCTCATAACAAACTTCAATTTATGTAACAAATTTTTTCTTCATGTCAAAACAAAACAAACCAAATGTGCTTGTCTTACCAATAGCCATTGGATAACGTGTAAGATGACCCAGATCATAAAGAAGCCAAAGAAGTTCTTGCTGAAGCAGTGCAACTTCCATTGCATCACTCGTCGCACTTAAACTTGGATTGATGGCTGACACTAGGGCTGCCACCTCCATGGGCCTCGTACAAATTACGGGGCAACCATTCACATATAACCATGACCTTGAACTCATGCCTGGGCCTACGGGCTGACCACGTTTATCTTCATTCCCTTTTCCTGTATGGAAGCAGTAGTGCATTGACAGACATGTTAAAATATAGTAACAAATATCAGCGTTTCAGCATGTAAATTGGAATAAGAGCTTACCATGCCATGTGACTTCTGCCGTTTGCGACCCTCCCTCCCCAAATACGACCCATGCATGGTCTTCAGACAATGCCAAGTGAACATCTTGATAGCCAAGAACTTGACAGCCAGCCACTACTGCAAACGCCACTCCAAAACAGTCTAACTTGTTTCCTATATAACATATTAATTACATGTCATTTATATCTGGTACTATGCCTTATGTAAAAACTAACAATGCAGAATATATACAAACAGTTTCTTTACCTGTCAGGTAACTGTAGAGACTTTGTAAATGGGCCCTGTCTTTGTAGTAACTCCTTGTTAATGAATTCCAAACTACATCCGATACCTTCTTAACAAGCTCTCTTGTAGCATACTTGCTACCGCTGTACTGTGTTAAGTCCACAGCACCTTTGATTATTGCATGAAACTTTGAATACAAGGCTTCAGCTATATGATACTCGACAGCGGGTAGCTTGGGTTCACCCAACGTGTCTGTTTCCTTCTGCACAGTAAACGTTCTACTGCATGTCAACGAATTCTCAACTGCTCCAACAACGATGGATAACAGAGCCAAGTCAGGTTCAGATGAACTTTCTAACTGCTGCTTGAATAATCTCACAATAGACGGAATATTCTCTAGCGGGAAATGTTGCCGACCAACTTCTCGAAACCCCGCCATGTCGCAGCTAAGCTACATTGTTGGTCAGCGCTACACCGGCCATTATTGAACTCTCTTTGGTTAAAATTTTAGAGTTAATTTAAGAAATTCACAATTGTACGGCATTAACAATTTGCTTTTGACTCACAAATGTACCCTTAGCGTATTTAAATATTAAGTTTACGTCAATGTTTCTGAAATAGGTACTGAAGAACTGTCATTGAGAACGAGAGTGCAGTAATCATGGCTGACGTTAAGGAGTTAGAAGTGCGAGGGGAGTGTGAAGATCAAATTGATGCTGTACATGCTGATGAAGGAAATGATTCTGAATCTCCAGAAGGCGGGGAAAATGACGTTAGTATTTATATTGTCCGTTCTCTACTGGTTACTTTTTATAGTTTATCAAAATACTGGTTTTGTGAACTGAATTGGCCATGAAGGCATGACTAATTCTAGAAGAGACATGAGCAGTTTGTGGTTTTCTAACCCATAGAGACATTATAGCACACATTTTTATGAAAACAGTGGAAGAATTTACACGTACATTATTTTCGGTTTGGGAATTGTATCAGAAGTGACATTGTTGACGTACGTATTATACAATTTTTTTTTCAGGTTGTGGCACAAGTTGAACAAGAGCGAGAGAGGTACCAACCCACAAGATTAGAATCTTTTTTCGCAATAACCAAGACTTTGATTCTTAGAGGTATCATCATGTATGTCATCGTATCCCTATTTCGCCGGCCACCCACAGTTGTCTCTGGACCTAATGATGTTACACCTGCTAAAGTACTAGCTTTTAATATGTTTGAAAATGGAACTGTTATGGTAAGTATAATTAAGTACTTTTCAGCAGCTATAGGGATGAGGAGCACTATTTTCTATGATGTAACATGTAGTTTGTTGAATTTCAACAGACTGCACGGTATTATATTGCAGAAGGTAGAACTTTTTTAATCATTGCTGTGAGAACAATAAATCCTATATAGCTGTAGGAATGTTTGAATACAATTATTTAAAAGTAATTCTCTGTATAAACCTGCCAATTTTAGATGATTAGTTATATATAAGGAATGAAAAGTAGGCATAATACAGAGTTCTGTCTTGTGAGATATAACATTATATGGTATTGTGACATGTCTAACAATTTCTGGGCAACGGGAGGTGGAACAAGTTACCACGAAGACAGACTCTGGATAAACGGTTGATTGCCGGGTTGCGCAACAGTAGAAGTGAGGTTACGCAACAGTAAGGAAAGCGGTGTTTCTCCACACTGGTTGCTGTGCAGCAATAAATAATTCTTCACAGCGTTGGCCAGCAATGCCTGCAAACACAGCATTTATGCAACAGTGAAGCGAGGTGGGTTTTCCACTGTCCGACTGAGGATTTATCAGGGAGACTGGAATGCGTAAGGAGTGAGTCGAAATGCAGTGGCCGCCAAAGCCAGTTACTAGAGGGAGATAGTTACTGGTATTGAGTATGAGGATTCAATATAAGTTGTTGAGTGAATGGAATCAAGACAATTGAAGCCTGGAAGTGACTACAGCAGGAGAAGCAATTGGGACAATGAAGTTGTGAATAATATAAGTGTAAAAGTGAAGGAGTGTGCAGTAAATTTGCTACCTCCTTGACGTACATGAAGTTATTTGTCACGTGACATACCCAACACACAACATTATGTCGAAAGTAACCAGACGTTTTCGATTAGCATATCTCAATCTTCAAGGTCAAAGAATAAACTGTGCAAGAAATGACCATGAAAGCAGGTGGCAAGCAGAACAGCAGTGTCAGTCGACTTTCAACAAACTGCACTGCTTTATATCCCAGAGGATACAACTCTTCATACCCACCACTGTGAGAACTACAAATCCTACAGGTTTATTACAGACCATTTTTATATACTAATATTCCAACTTTGCCATTTGCCATTTGCTTGCCAGACCTAAGTAGCTGATAGAGTAGTTATCAGGGCACAGCAGGCAAAACTCAAGAATGCTCCATTCAGTAACCTGTGTTCTTAGGTGCGTATTTGTTGTTATCAGGACAGAATACCATCTTCTGGGACATGACGTAATATTTTTTTTAATTTGCTTAGTGGGGGGTATAGTCCAACTGGGTTCACTCGGCACGGTGGCCACTGATTGGTCTATTGTAGCCAGCCCTGAGTGATTATGATGATGGAGAATTTGGTGGAATGAAGATTGGCAGGGGAAACCGAAGTACTTGGAGAAAACCTGCCCCAGCCCCACTTTGTCCACCACAAGGCCCACTTGACCAGACCCGGGATCAAACCCGGGCAACCGTGGCATGTATTATAGTAGAAGTTTACTGGTGTTCTGCAGGAATATGCTACTTCTGTCTTTAGACTCAAAGAGTAAACCAAACAAACACAAAGCAGAGTAAGTGGGCTACTTGCTTCTTACTGGTCGCTTGCTTGACTTACTCATCAATCCTGAAGATGGAGGCAGTACATTCCTCTGAAACATTGGTGAAGTACTGCGAGACTGCATGGCCTCACATCCCGGAATATGGTATTTTTTTTTAAGATAGTTTCATTTAAGGACTCCTTGCTGTAGAATATATTCTGAGTAATGATTCTGCATAGTGTCCCTTGCCTGAAATTCCTTCCTAAAGCAGTAAACATTGCCAGAAAATAATATCCAGTTGTACCTTAATATATATGGAGGATGGGCCCCAAAGAATGTAATGTGAATCAAAGCCATGTTTCGCAAGAGGATATGCATGCTGAATATTTGTCATTTTGACTGAGATGGTCATGTTTAGATTTAAATGGACTTGGTAAAAAGGTATGTAGCTATGATGAAAACTGTTATTGCCAGTATGAAACAAGGTGACTTGATTTAGTCAGCCAACCATTAACACTTAACCACATATGTGACAACCGCATGATAGACAAATAGACCCATTTCTAGGCAGTGGTTTGGTAGACACATTCCTGCTGCTAGACGGCAGATTCTTAATAAGGCAACAGTTGTACTGCAACAATGGAAGGTGTGTGTTTTCTACAAGGTTTGTGCCGAGAGGTTATAAGGAAGGGATAGGGTCAGTTGGTAGTCCCATAGGGGAGTCCGTGAAGAGAGAACTTGAGCCTGGAGGCATTGTTGGAGCCATCACCAGGAAACATCCAGTAACAGACTGAGAACACCAGACTGTGTGCTCTAGTGAACTGTAAAGTGTGGATGTTAGCGATGGTGCTATAATTAAATGTAGTCACGAGTCATGTGATAAAGTGGTCAGTAAATCTGTTCACCTATCAACACCCCGTCTAGAGTAACAGTTCATACTACATGACAGTAATGTTAAATGAGAAATAACAGGATAAGTAATGATGAATTTGGAAGGATGTGGATGCTGTAGTAGTTCGCTTGAAGCTACTTTGCCTCATTTTCCTGCAGAATCAGAAAAATAGGATCCTTATGAGAGCTGATCTCTGATTTGAAGATTTGAACAAAGGGTCAGTGGAATGTGAAGCACATTATACCACATTGTTTTATATCATCAGAAGAAAACATCAATAAAAATTACGGGTTATCAGACTTTGTGGCACTATGATCCCACCTCCTAAAATAATACATTAATTTACATGACCCCAGGCTCTGCTATTCAGAAATGGAGTTCTGCACATTTTTGCAGGTCCCAGTCAAGCCAATATGGCAACAGCAGGAAATAGCTGTACAATCTCACTGCATCTGACACATGAAAGTTTGGCAGACTGCCCTCAGAATAAGCTGTGATATAAATAGTAATAAATCAAAGATAAGAAGAAGACAGTTGAGATTAAACATGAGATCTTTTGAATACTAGTCTAGGGCTGCCCCTTTGGTGAGATAGTTAATGTAATGGCCTAGCGGCCTCCGTAGTCTAGAGGTAACGTTCCCACCTCATGACTCGTGGTACGCGTGTTCAAATCCGGCGGAGGTCGTCGAATTTTTAAGGGCGGAAAAATTCAGGGAGCAAGTCCTCCGGGAGGGACTTTAAGCCGTGGGTCCCGTGTTGTAGCCTTACGGCACGTAAAAGAACCTCATATCTCCAAAGGAGGTCACTGAGCCAAATTCAAGGACATTTCCTTCCCAACAGTAGTCTCTAACGCCTCTGATAGATGGGGGAAGCATTATAGATACCGCTAAGGCAGTAGAGGCTGAACTCGCTGGCTCGGTCGGAACTGAGGGTACGCACCAATATCGGTAGGGTATAGAGACTGGTAGAATATCATAGAGGGAAGCACAATGGACCAATACTGGTCTTTAAGTGCATGGGGAAACCCACCCTCTCCAATAACTAACTAATGTAATGGCCTAGTATTCAAAGAGTCTTAGGCTTATTTCCAAGTGTAGACATTTGTTTTAAAATAATATTCATAATTTATTTAACATCCATAAGCTGTTACGCAAGTACAGTTGGACAAGTCGGTTAAAACCACCTAAGCACTACAGCTTAGCAGTCCTTAAAAATGTACAAAACGAGACACGAGACAAAGAACAATACAATCATCTTAGGATGATTCGGAAATCATTGCTCGTACGCACTTATTAATTTTGGAATTACCAGCCTCCCAATGTAAACAAGTTCAATATAAATAATGCAGTTATTTATATGGGCTTACATATTTTGGGCCTTCAAGGCCATCTTCAGAGGTTCAATGGTAAAAGGAACTTGCTTTACAGTTGTTATAGATCTTAGTACAGTTATAAGTTGTATGGTTGTAAACTATGTAATAAGTCAAAATTGTAAATGTTTAAATATTAGTAAAACAGTTTCTTGTTTTATGGTGTATCTTCTGATTGATATGTTTTCTTTTCTTCTGTTTTTGCTTGTTAAATGTTGTCATCAGTTCAGCAGACTGGCACTACACGTATCCAGCAGGTTGTCCAGACATTTAACAAACAGCTACAGAAAGACCATTTTACATTTTACAACTGTATAACTTATACCAAGATCTGCCAGAGCTGTAAGGTATGGTCATTTTAGTGTTGAGCCTCTGAAGATGCCCTGAAGGACCGAAACATGTAATGGCATACAAATGATCGAATTATTAATATTGAATTTGTTTACTCTGGATGTCTTATGATTCCAAGAAAAAAGTAATAACAGATCTGTCAGTATAATGACAACCAATCAGGTGGGAGCAGACCCAACTCACAAATCATAGTGTACGTTGCATATATCTCAGGCAATGGAAGGTATCGAACGTAATATAGCCATTGTTAGGAGTCCACAGTACATTCTATGGCATGTGTAGATTGGTGACTTGATTTTAAGTACTGTTCTCTTTTACCATATAGTGAAATTTTGGATCCTTGCCATTTCTTTCTGTTTGCTGTAATAATATGATACATGGAAAAAGAACGGAGTTTCAGCACTACATTTATTAACACATTTGGTCCTGTATCTGAGTTTAGTTACTTAATTTACCAATGCTTTATTCACACCACCATAGGCAACCTAGGCTGGACCTTAACATTCCATGAGAAGGCAAAATCTTTCTCTGTCAGATGCACTAGCTATCTTTTTTCATTTCTTGGATATATGCAGTACTGCAAACTGGTAGTGTACTGTTAAAAATGGCTGGTCTGGGGAACAAACCATCAGAGTTACTGGGAGTGAATGTGTTGAGGCTAATGGTAATTTGCTTTGTGATTTGTACGGAGAATTTAAAGAATTCCTACAGTTGGAAATGATATTAGAAGCTGCAAGATTTCTCTTTTATTAAACTTATTCTGTTTCAAGTTATTACTTGTTATTTTCTTTTCCCACATAGGATTTATATGTGTACATCTCAGAGAGTGAAAAGTTTAATGACTTTAGCAATCCAGAAGCCTTGATTTGGAGTGAAAAGGGCATAATTTATGGGGACTGGAGCAGTGGTTCTAATAGTGATGGAACACGTGTGCGTGATGTTGAAATCAAAACCTCAGAGGTAAGTGTAATGTATAGTTTAGTAGTAATAGATGACCCAGATAGCTTTAAAAAATTTATGACCCATGTTGTTTGTCAAGTTAGCACACACATAGTCAATCTATATTTTGCCTCTTAACAACATACCCACAACTGACACTGTGGAGAGCATTGAAGAAGGCCTTGTCATCCAGGCAGATAGTTGGTGCATGTACATGGCAAAGGATCTGGAGGCTGTGGGGTTTAAGCACGTGAAAATCAACCACAAGTACAGCTTCATCGCTCCAACAACTGTCATGCACACCCATAATATGAAACTTATGTAGGGATCAGGTAAATTGTGTATTTCCACCCAAAGGGTCTTACGTGTTCAAGTTTATGTAACAGAACCAATTCAACGGCAGGGATCCGATGCCATTTTGGAAATGATCACTGAAAATTTAGAATGTAATTATCCTTATTCTAATTTTTTTCATGAAAGAACCTTATAAATAAAATCATAGAAGTTGTTCAAAGGATTCGTTGGGTCACCCATTATTATATAAGTACCACATATTGGTAATACCAACTGCCCTGCATTCAGTAAGGGGATGAATGAAAGAGTGGCAGGTATATCTTAAAAAGACATGCTCTGATGTTGGATCTTAGGGAAACGGGTTGTGGTGAAGATGATTGGATTAAGCTGGCATATATGGACCCAATTGTGTGATCTAAACATGAATTTTATTGTAAGGAAATTTGTGGGTCGAGGGGCAGTGCTGTGTGCACAGACTTGTAGTATTATTCAATGCCCATTTTATGTAAAATTTTAAACAGGGTTGAGTACAGAGGAGTTTGAGAAATACCTCATTTAAGTGAGAAAAGGAATTATAATTTGCTGTCTCTCAGACTTATAATAGCAATTATTAGACAAGCTACAATTTTGTTTATAGTCTTTTAACCTTCATTAAATCCATTATATATTATGCATTACAAATTATTTTGTAGAGGAAAAATTAGTTTAAGAATCTCTTTTGTTTATTTTTTTTTTCTTTTCTAGGCAGTACAGAATAATGGTTCATTATATCTTCACGTGTATGTTACTCGGAGAGGAAAGTCACCAGATCCTGCTGCTGGAAGAGGAGTGTACTCACCACATCAGGTGACATACAACAAGAAGCTGCTAAATAAATACAAGCGGCTGCGCTACACAAAGACGCACAATCTCTTGACTGGTGAGACAGCTGCAACTGCAGAGGAAGTGAAGGTGAGGCAAAATCCATCAGTTTGAACTTTGTAGATGTCTCGGCATTTTATACAATAGACATTGTTTCTGCTATTACCCACCATGAAGACTGCTGTCAATACTTAAGTCTTTACTTCTCCTGTACAGGAGCTTAAAGAAAATTGAAAGCAGGAGCAACATGTGAATTAAGTCAACTAAAGCAATATTTCAATGAATTCAGCCTTCTAACATTGCAGATGAATGTCAGAATTGAATGAATTGCACTTTTAGTCTTGTGCTCTGTTCTTGGTCCAGTGCCTGATTTTTGGATGTAAATAGGTTTTTTATAGGTTATGCAAGTTTTGTTGGAATGTTAATTGTGTAATAGTGATTTTCAGTTGTTATATTTTTTAATATTCGTTTATTTTTATCTTATTTAGCTAAGGCACTTCAAAAGTTTTATTTTATCTATGTACTAAACATTTTTTGAAGCATATACAGTTATCATCATGTATGTATGATAAATGCTGGATGGAAAGAAATTACTTCAAAAACGCTGTTGAAATTTAAATTAACTTTTTAGGTTAGGGTTCTCCAAACTCTTTGACAAGTGGGCCACTGTGTCAATAAATTATTTTCTCATGGGCCAGGCAATCAAGGCCAGTTTTTTGTTTTCTTTTTTATCTTGATGCCCAGTATACATATTTGCAGAATTTTCTGACAAGCCCAGTGTAACCTCTATTTAAGCAGACATGCATTGTCAGCAGATGTAAATGGAGGAAGTTAACTATATGAATTGAATAATGTTTGGAATATTATTTCTGTAATAGTGTAATGGAAATTACCTGCAAGTAAAAGTAAGTAACAAAAGAGCAAACAAACAGAACCTAGTAAGTAAAAAAAAATTTTGAATACGAACATAAACTATACTGACAGAGCGACCGCCGCTTGTAAAAGATCTGTTTCCATCTCACAGCTGTATCAGATGGCTTCACCGGTTAACTTCTGGCCAGCAGGCTAAAATTTTGAGAGCCATGCTATAGATCGTGACGAATTTGAACACGAAATTGAATGTGAAAAGTGGGAGAAAAGAAGCCCTGAGTACAAGATATGTCACGATAAAAACTGTTGAATTTTCTGGTGGGATTTTGTGCCACAAGGGTTCAGTGCCCACATTCACCCCCAATAGAGTACCTATGGATACCTCTTACTCCAACCCTTAAGACTGTTGTGAAATAGCATTAAAACACTCAGCACCTCAAAAACTGAAATAGATATAATTGAATCAACTAACAGTTACATAAAATCTCCTACTGAACTCTTTATAGAGCCTACAGTAACCTACTGAATGTGTCCTTCCTAACGTCTACATTTGGTGAACCAGAGTTCACGCTAATTAACAGTAAACCACATTTCTATTCTACCAATCAATGAACCAAATTCTGATTCTAACAAGCAATGAACCTAGTTTATTGTTAACACTCAGTGAACTAGATAAATATGCTAACACTCAGTGACACAAATATGGACAAGTTACTCACTTGACCTGAAGAGTCTCAGAACAGTGGTGCCATCTTGGCTTCTTTGTACACATATTTCAGTGACGCAACCTCCACCCAAACTAGGCCTCAATTAAGTTTGAATTAGGTCCTGGGGTACACAACTAAGGGGTTTTATACATGCTCTTGGGCATGTAACTGCTGCCCACTCAGGAAAACACCCTGGAATCGACAACTCTCACTGGTCGTCATACTTATGTTCTAAAATTTGCCCATATATGGTTCACTATGTGAGTAAGCAGCATTCCTACAGAAAAATAGGTTTTGAAACAGATGACTGGAGGATGTGAGCCGTCATAATCTGATCTCATTCCCCAGTTCTGGTCAGCCATCTGGTGGGTGACACCTCGCTTACTCAACTTTACAGAAAACTTAAATTATTTTTTAATGCATAGCAAGGAACACCTTTAAATTGAGAATCCTCTGTGGTAATATTCTGAAAGAGTCACGTTCCATATCATCTGGGTCTGTATGATCCTGTTTACAGAAAGCCGAAACCATGAAGGAGGAAATCGTTTCTCACTGGCATCCAAATCTGACAATAAATATGGTGACTGATCAGACAAATTGGATTCAAGGATCTGTTCCTCCACCATTGGATGAGTGTAAGTAATTTTATGCTGAACAGCTTGGCGAACAGGTAGTGTTCTGAACTCAGAACTCATGTTTGAGAGGTGCTTGGTTTGAATATCAGCTGGTACTTCAACTGTCTTGTCTGAGATTCTTTTGTGGTTTTTCCACAGTCGCTCAAAGTAAATGCCATGATATGATTTTATTAGGCCTTAACCATTTCCTTCCATATCCTTTTCTACCTTGATTAACCTGGGGCACGTGGTAGTGCAGTGGATAAGGCACTATGCTACAAGTCAGAAGGTCACAGGTTCAAATACCGATGAGGTCATTGGATTTTTTCAATTGACCTAATCCTTCCGGCTGCACTATGTCCCTGGGATTCACTCAGCCTCTAACAGAAATGAGTACCAGGAATTAAATAAATAATTTTCCTGGGGAGTAAAGCGCGGCCAGCGCATAAGGCTGACATCTTTGAGCCGATTGTCTAGATAATGTGGGACCCTCAACATCTCACAACTCTATGGGCCTTCATGGCCTGTTACAGGGTTAGCTTTACTTTACTTTTTTTTTACTTTGATTATCCTACCATTCAGTGCCGCAAATTCTAGACACTGACAATATTATAAAATAAAATAAAATAACAAATCACTTAGTGATTTATTTTATTTTGTTTCAGATATTGAATTCTTACCAGGCGGAGATCGTTACAAGCCTGTTATTTATCTGAATGAATACTGGAATATGTTGAGAGACTATCAACCAATCAATGAAACAACAAAGTAAGTTCAAATTTTAAGTACAGTAGATCACTGTAGGTCGTGGTGCAAGGGTTGAGAAGGCCCACCCCTTATACATTCATTCATTCCAAGTTTGAATTTTAATTTGGCAATGTGAGGTTTGAGTCCTGCATGGTGGTGACTGCCATACTGTGTTCTGGGCCGACACATCATATAGTCTGGTAGATGTATACCAACATTTCTTCGGATGTTGATAAACATCTATCACACTACTGGGTATCATGTCCTAAGGGACATTATAATCTTAAAATTTAACATTTCAAGTATGATTTCTTTGACACATTACAGTTCTATATAACATGGAAATGTAATTTAACAGGAGTTTGCAAGATTTGTGTCCTTTTGCAGTCTTAAAAATACTGTTTTGAAGTAAGAATATTTGAAATCATAAGCTATGTAAATATTAGAAAATGTTTTGAAGTGAAAAAATAAATTATGAAAAATGATAACTGACAGCATTGTCGTAGTTAATAAAGCTCGGTACTTGCAGTTTCGCAAGGTGCTGAAATGTAGAAAATGGGAGGCCTTGGACGACATTGGTTTGCTGTGCTGTTTAGAAAAGGGAACTTGGAATGTGCTTCACTTGATGAGTGCAGATCCCAGCTAGAGAATTAGTGTTTCCAAGCATAACTATTTCCATTAATTTTCTGCTTTTTGCAATTCTTGCACAGGACTTTACAGTTGACTTTGACATACCAGCCACTTTCGCTCTTGAAATGGCAGATATACTCAACACAGACAATGCGCAACAAGTGGACAGGGAATATTTTGGGTGACGCATTTGTGGATGAAGATGATGAATATCAGGATTCATTGAAAGAAGCACTTCTGGAGACATCACCTTATCTTCTGGCTCTTACTATTCTCATATCATTGCTGCATTCTGTTTTCGAACTTCTGGCATTCAAGAATGGTATGTACTGCTGAGGACGGTGGGATTCGTGGGGTTGTAGGAGAAATGTGTCATTGCCTTTGTATTTAAAGAAGGAATAATCCTCAAATTTTTGGAGACAGCAGAGTGTAGATTGCTGAGGAGGTATAGCGATTGAAGTATGGACCAGACTGTCGGGGTATCAGGGTTTGATTCCCATCAGGAGGAGATATTTTCTCTTTTCCACAGTGTATGGACTGGCTCTGTGGCCTATCCATGCTTGTATTCAACAGGTATTTCCATTGTTTCTCTGGGAGTAAAGCAGCTGATATGTGGAGCTGTATCTCCTCTTCCTTCTACATCTTCATGGCATGGTACCTATTTAAACACAAAGATAGTTTCGCTTTTTTGCCTACAATTTATGAAAAGAAAATCTTTTTTTTTTTTTATTAATGTGTTGCTAAATTTGTGTCAAATGAAGTTTTTTATTTTCTAGATTTATGGGTCAGAAATGATTTTATCCTTTCAGGTAAAAGGATAGGTTCAGTCTATATTTGAATCTGTGCACAGATCACAGCCAAGCCTTTGTGAATTCCAAGTCTCTGATGTGGTTTGGAGTTTACATTAAGTTTTAGGTTGGACATTGTTTACAGCTTTTGCGTAACATTATAGAATCTGCCTCAGGGCTGTTCCCATCTCAGAAATAATTTCCTTTGCCTAACAGTCCAGAGGATATTGTGAGTAAGACCGTAACTGAAGACAGTTGCAACAAGCAAATGCACTTTTAGGAGTGTACCACATTACACTAAGTAAGGTATGGTCCGCATTTTTAAAGCAAGAAATGATTATGATATGAAGAAGATTGTTGACTAATAAGTCATGTACAAAACTGCACAATGAGGAGCTTCATAACTTGTACTCTTCACCAGATATAGTTAGAATGATCAAGCCTATGAGGATGAGATGGGCAGGGAATGTAGCATGAATGAGGGAGAAGAAAAATGCATATAGGATATTGGTGGGAAAGCCAGAAGGAAAGAGACCACTAGGAACACCAAGACATAGGTGGGTGGACAATGTTAAAATTTTACTTAGTCAGGTGGTATGGACTGGATTGATCTAGCTCAGGATAGGGACCAGTGGAGGGCCCTTGTGAGCATGGTAATGAACCATAAATTCTGGGAAGTTCTTGAGTAGCTGCACATTTGGCAGCTTCTCAAGAAGGGTTCAGTTCCATGAAGTTAGTTTAAGACATGGTAATGAACCTTCAGGTTCTATAAAATGCTGGGAAGTTCTGGAGTAGCTGCACAATTGGCAGATTCTCAAGGTCTCAGCTACATGAAGTTAGTTTAGTTAAGTCATATGTACATCATTTATAGTATTTTGTATTTTTGTGGTTACGTGCATGTGTTCGTGCACACAGTCAGGAGAAGTATTACATTTATTGAGCAAGAGAAAGTTATACAACCTGTGTTTTATGTAATGTGTGTTACAGATATCCAATTCTGGAACAACCGAAAATCATTAGAAGGCTTGTCAGTGCGGTCGGTATTCTTCAATGTGTTCCAGTCATTAATTGTCATGCTCTATGTCTTCGACAATGACACCAATGCGGTAGTTAAGATCAGTTGTGTTGTGGGACTTTGTATAGAGGTCTGGAAGATTCACAAGGTACACCATCTTTTGTCATATGTAATGAAATTCTATAAAGCACTGTTTTCACAAAATCTATGATTGTGTCTGTTCTCCTGAATTGGAATATACAGGTCTTTAGTTTAGTTCTTTTTAAAGTTTTTTCCACTCTTCAGTTCTTTGCAATATGGCAGCAGGCCACTGTGCGGACTTTTCTGACTTCCTTATACGTATATTATCCCATATTTTTAGAAACATAATTCTTATTTGTATCATTCAGGTGATGGATATCAACATTAACCGTGAGGCTCTTATCTTTGGGGTCATTCCAAGGTTCAGCTTCTCAGATAAGGGCTCATACATAGAGTCCAGTACCAAAGAATATGATACTCTGGCATTCCGTTACCTGTCATGGGCATTGTACCCATTACTGGGTGGCTATGCAGTTTACTCTCTCCTCTACCAGGAGCACCGTGGTTGGTATTCATTTGTGCTCAACATGCTTTATGGCTTCCTTCTCACATTTGGTAAGTAGGCATGTATTTAAATTGTACAGAAACTTATGTAACTTGTCTGCAAGTCCAAGATATTTTAGTCTGTGCAAAAAGTAATGCCGTTTATTTCTTTCGTTGTTTAATCCTTCTGGAGATAGGATATATTGAAAATATGTTGCCATTTTTTGTCAAAAGTGCAAGCCATGAGGGAAAGTATCTTTCCTTACTGTGAATTCTGTGAAAGAGATGTGAAACTTCTGCTGCCTACACACAACTTGCAGAACATATACATCTTAAGAATTTTTTGTTCTGCTATATTTGTTATACACAAATTATTTACTTATTTTTTGGTTTTTTATGTAGATTTCAAATTTGATTTCAAGTACTGCACTCCAAATTTAATTGAAAAGGAATTATGAGCCTGTGTTCTGATGCACTGACTTAAAAAGTACTGCCATCAGATTTGATGTTATTTCAAGTCTGTCCTCACCCCGTGATTGAGGTTAGCGCTTTCTAACGGACCCAATAGAGTAGGCATCTCCCCCCTCCCTCATCTGATGATGGAAACAGATCCAGTTTCCGAAATGTTGTGTTATCTAGCTTCTAGAATACCGGACGATGGACAGAGTATGAAAATCCTGTAATTCTGGATCTGTTATGCTGTTCTATGTTTTCACCATGAGAGTTACAGCATCACTACATTTCTCGGTGGCAAGAGCATGGGTATATCATGATCTCAGTGGCACATGACTCTGTGCATTAGATATACATAGAGCCCTTGCTAACCTCTGGAAAATAAAAACTTTAGCCTGTGTTGTATAAAGAAGGCATCCAGATATAAGCCGCATGTAATCAAAACCATGCTAAACAAGGGATTACCATAAATGGAAAGAATTTAGCATAAGTTTGAAACTCTTTCAGGCACATTGTGAAACTAAATATATGAGCCAAGATCAATGTACTCGCATATTTAAATGAAAGGTCCTTACTTGATACTTTTAAGTGTATTCTATGAAGGAAGTGCACTCCCATGAAGATCTTACATAAATTTGTATTTACATTTTTGTGTTTCAGGATTCATAATGATGACGCCACAACTGTTCATCAATTACAAATTGAAGTCCGTAGCACATTTACCATGGCGTATGATGTCATACAAGTTCCTCAATACTTTTATTGATGACATTTTTGCATTTGTCATCAAAATGCCAACACTTTACAGGCTGGGTTGTTTCAGGGATGGTATGTTCACTTTTGTTTTATAACTTTTCAAATGTAAAATCATACGCGTTAAGAAATTTGTTCAGTGCTCTAACTTCTTGTAATTCATTTCGCCAGTTGTCGTCTGTATTCGTACAGCGCATTTAGGTCATGCATGAACAAATCATCTGTTAACCAGTTAAGTGGGTATGACTTCTTAACACACCTTGCATTATTCTGTTTCAGAGTGGGGATGATGTATGTACGTGTCATGCATGTTTTCAAGTACACCATTATAGATATAATGACAGTTGGTAATGCTGATTTATATGTTGTGCTTGTTTGATACCTGTCCTGTATTCGAGTTCCTGCAATTAAACCTTATGGCAGATCCTATCAACAAGATGTGTCTGAGCAGTGAGGTGTTATATGCATGAACTGTCATGAGAGAATGAATATAGTGACGTTTCTGGCAGTGAATATAGTAGTGACAGTGAAAAAAATATGAAAATTTCATCATGTGAACAGAGTGTCAGCTCTGATGAAGAAGAAAATGTCGGTGACAGCAGTAGCATGCAGCATCGCGTATGGGCAAAGTCCAGTGCTGAGCGACTATGTTTTCCATTCACTGGCAAGCCTGGCCTACATATTGATGGATATGGTGACTACAAGCGTACTATTTTCAGCACTGATTTTTGGAAAACTGGGTTTGAAGTTTAGTTTGAACTGTAATTTGTGACTTAAAACAAGACTCATTCTGAAATCAAGAGCTGGGGTGGTGTAGTCGGTATAGTGACTGGCTATGGGGTGGACAATCAAGGGGTCGGGGTTCATTCAAACCGGCTTTGGGGTTACCCAGCCTCCTATCCAATGGTTACTGGGGTGTGAAGTTGACCACTCACCTCAAATTAGTGCCAAGGTCAATAAAACATGGGACTATGCATCCACTCCCCCATTTACCTTTACCTTTAACCACATTCTGAAAACTCATGTGCACTTAAGGTTAACCTATGGAAGTATCTGGAAGGAGTCCAGCGCAATATGAAAATCAGAAATGTGTTATCTTATTTTCATCTAAAAGTGGTGGAGATAAAACACATGAATACTCAGGCAACAATATGTGAATGCAAAATTTGCAAGAAATATATTGAGATGTGAGGTTTATAAGCGTATCATGGCTACACGGCCCAAGGCATGGATGTCTGTGTTTGTGTTGTCCTGTGTGTATGTAGCGGCATTGCCACTGGCCGATCCGCCTTCCAAGGAGTCCTACTGACTGTAAGAATGATTACGAACCTGAAGAAGAGGCCAGGGCCCAACAAAGGGCTGTAGACCCATTGATGAAAGAAAACTGAGGTTTATAATAGGTTTTCCAGATTATGGCACTATGTAAACTGAGCAAGTTGGCTCCAGTTGTAATACTTCGGACTTGTATTTGGGAGATGCCTGGTTCAGATCATGGCGGCATACAGACTCGTGATTTAGGATTCTCATGGTCTGTTTTAGTCCATCCAGGCAAATGCTGGGATAGTATCATGATAGGCCACAAATGTTTACATTTTTTTGTATTCATCATCCTTCATCGTAACACCATTTGACACTAAATTTTGAGCCACTGACAGCATTGTTAAATAAATCTAAAATAAAACAGTGTGGTGTGATAGGTGGTTACTGTCCATTCGGAGGAACCTGCTGCCTCCATCTTCAGGTAGGAGTGCAGACTCCATTTGATGATTTCACTGATTACTGATGTAATAATTTACACATCACATTCATTTCAGATATTGTTTTCTTCATCTTCCTGTATCAGCGTTGGATATACAAGACAGATCCCACTAGAGTGAATGAATTTGGTTTCTCTGGTGAGATGGAACGGGAGGCAGCCGCAAGTCAAAGTGGACAGCTAGCAAACGGTGCAGCACCTGCCATCGCAGGAGCACCGGCTAAAGACTGCAGACAGAAGAAGGAAGATTAACATGAGTGCAGCACTAATAGTCTCAAATTCTTCTAGAAACTGAAAAATGAAATGAAAGTAAATTTATCGTGGAAGTGTTATACCAAGTTTTAATGATAGTTGCGATAATGCTGGCTTATGCATTTAAAAATAAGATATTGTGTGGTCCCCTGATGTATTAGCATGTAAAGCTGCCATTTTGTTTTTGTCCCTTATTTGGTTATATGTATATGTATTGCATTCTTGCTTGAATGTAAATTTTAAAGTGCTACACCCATCTTCAGAGGATCGTATAAATGCACTTACAAATAAGTATTGTTGTGCTTGCAAGGTAATGTAGCTGATGGAGGTGATCTCTAGTTTTCCATGCCTGCAGCAAAATTAATAGCAGTTTATTGAGGATAAGCGAAGGGAAATTCATGTTAGAATGAATATGCTGTTTTATTCCACCAGGTTGTGGAAATGTTTAATGTTCGATGTGTGTAGTTAAGAAAGTACATTAAATTGACATTTCTGTTTTAAGATATATCTGTTTTGTTATTGATGTTGAATAGTACAAGGCTCCTGCTGCTGTTAACAGTGGGAAGATAAAATCAGCCTGTTATGTGCTGAACAGAATGTTAAGTTTACAAAAGGCATATAATATACTAGTAGAATACCTGTTGCATATTTAATGGGAACATTTGACAGTTCTCATCTCTACCTGTGATTTCCTGAAGACCCCTCCGTTGATCCATTCTTATGTTTTATAGTCTTGGGGAGACACTTTGGAATCATGATTTAACTGAATATGTATACTGTGAACTCGAATAGCTTTGGAAAGACATAATGATAAAATAAGCATAACAACAGTAATAATAATAATACCAATGATGGTATTGTCACATCTATGAGTGTGATTATAGAGAGGATTTGGATTTATTGGACTCTTTGACACAGTGCGTGACTACACATTATGGTTCACTATTACACACACTGTCCACAGTCACGTTTTCACTGGCCATTGCTCAGTAGTGACTTTCAATGGCAGACGTTCCCCTTCCTCTGGATTCCCGAACTTCCGCGGCCTCGGCTATCAGCTTCTCACAGCAATATCTTACAACGACTGAACCTCAGCAGTTCTCTAACTTACTGACCAACTAACTCAACTCAACTGACTCTACTCCATTAACTATCCTGCCTATAACACCTCACCATGGACTACACAGAAAAGACTGGTCCTCTGTTACCATGCTGTTGTTGCATGCACAGACCGTGCATAAAACACCTTTCCTCTGTTGCTGTTTACAGGCCATTACTTGTATGATAGCATGTTTCATGAAAAGGTGCCAGTTGGTGTAGATGTTACTAGAGGCGTTCACACAGATTCACCATTCAGTAAAACAAAGTAAACTGTCCTTATAGGATATTATTATAAATAATTTATACAATATTTGCAAGATCTTTATTTGCCCAGCTACAATGGTACATTACTGTCATAAAATTTGTATTTTAGTATGCAATTACCATGCTGTATTTAATTCTGTACTACATTTTAACACCTCTGTTAACATATAAAAATTTCATGATCCTACATTAATTGATGAAATGATGTGTTGATTGGCTATGGTCTGAATGATCATTGTATCATTAGTACAGTAGCTGGGAAATGTCTCTTCATCACCATGTCCACAGTTGCTTTGGATCCATCCACCAACCTGGTCACTGGGCAAAGTCCACCCACACTATGAACCAGGGTATATCATACCTTGTTTAGGCAACCTTATGGAAGATATGTCTGAAGTTCTCACCACACACGAATACCAAATGTATGCTTAAAATAGAATATTGCAACTTTTTAATGATAACATGACTATCTGCATCGCTAATCAATGATAACACACCCTCCTTCCTAGAGTGGGTGCAGTATACAAAGGGCCTTTTGTTAGGGTGGTAAACATGGCTGAGTGTGAAGCCACCATTCTCTTCAAATTGATGCTGAGGCTAGAAATAGGCGAGATGCTTTATCATCTCATTATGGATATCATTTTCATCTGGGAGCATAAGTTGCATATGAAGAATGGTCATTCATTGGCAGCTGTTTGCTCTGTCTTTCACTGCTACAGAAGCAGGACACAGGCGATAGGATAGCAGTCAATCTGTATATATACTGATTATAATTATGAGCTCATGCATCTGAAGTTGGATGCTCATCCTGTCAAGTTGGGTTGACCCGCAACATGCAGGTTTGCTTTGTGGGTGTATGTAGAACATCTTGTGCTGATTGTACTTTTGAGATTCAGCACACCCACTGAGCTTATAAATGTGAATATGATTACTGCAAGCTCTGTAAATTTTATACAGCCTATTGTATGAATGTAACATGGGTAATATATGTTAGTAAAAGTGAGGCATAAATATATTAGCTCAGTGTGAAAGAAAAAACCTATCCAAACAATTAAATTGTGAACTGTATCATTCTGAGCTTTGGATGCTGTTATTTACGAAAGCATCATTATTAAGAATCCCTGTAAGGTTGGAACATGTAACAAGAAAACTGCTGGTCGGCACAGTTAAGCATGGGATGGCTTTACATTTGATACCTAGCATTTCCTTACAAGTCAGCAGTTAGGGCACCCTCTGGATCATGGCCTTGTCTTCCTTGAATGATGAAATCACGCTGCAAATGCAAAATATGGTGATCTCTTAGAGCTGGGTTACATTAGAGAATCAAGCATGTTTCTGTATTTCCAGTGGTGTTAAAATTGTTGGTCAACACATGTTGAAATTTATCATCATCTCTGGGAAATTTATTCACTGTGCCAACAGAACATGCATTGGGGAGACCATTTAAAATTTTACAAACATAAACAACAAAATATTAAACATCATGACAATTTTAATTTCTGTTTCCATTTTTGAGTTTCACAAAATGCAGTCATGTATTGTTTTCAGATACAAAAATAAATACAGCAAAATTTTCATTTAGGTCACCGAATCATGTTGAAATTATGAAGTCAATCTGAATTTCTTTGAGCTGCTTTACTGCTGCAACAAAAATGGCCTCCAGTCATTCACTTGTTTCAAACATTTGCAAAGTTTTATGACATTAGGGTATACTGTGTTACATGGCCCTTATATGACACTTGCACCAAAACCATTAATAATCTTCTGAATTGTTTTAAACAACCATTAATAACATTGCATTAACAGTGCATAATATAATAACTGTTGCATGAAAGACTTTTTTTTAAATACCAGGCTCTAGCAGATGTGAAGATCAGTACAAAGTCTTGATTGCAGGTGATAATTTTATGATAGCATCTCAAAAGTTAACATCTGAAATGCTAATCACATCAAAAACAATATTCGTAGCCTCGATTTCCTTCCACATAACTTACATTGCTCAATTATTCTGATTCATATGAGCTTGACATCTCAGATTCTGTGTCACTGGAGCTTGTACTGCTGATGTAGATAACACTGCTGTTATTTGGACTGTGAAAATGAACAGAAATAATGTCATAAGAAACATAATCAAATGTAGCATACTAAACAGGAAAATACTGCTGCTTAAAGTATCAGTCTTTAGAATAACATCCCATTTTTCACTATGAACTCTTTTACAAAAATGACAGGAAGCTTAATCCACCTGGAAACACTGATAAAGTGAATGAAATATGTGATGTTCTTCAATCAACGTCATTGAACATATATACTATGAAAAATATTTTTCCCGTTTTTCATCTAATATGGGACTATGGAAGGAACCATGTATACAGATTTTCCATATTTTAGAAACAAGAAAAAATTATCTGACAAGAAGACTAAGCTGAGGAAAATTTAAGCCGCGGCTGCAGCTCTCCAGAATTTAGTGAACTATAGTTTTAGTGTAGAATTACTGAAACAGCCTTTGAAAATCTCCTTTTACATGGAGGTCAGAATTCAAATTCTTTTAACAAAAGTTTGTTCAACTGAGGTAGGCATACATCATCAGAAAGATTCAAAACATTACATGGTGAAAAACTAGGACCACTGTCCATTGTGGTACCTGGATAAAATGGGGACAAGAAATGAACGCTATAGGAACGAAAATTCTAGTCTACTTCATACTTTGTTACTTGACCCCTCAGGCTGGCATGTGCTCCCTCTTATTCTGCTTTAAAATGTTCACTTTACCTACCCAGGCTACTTACTTGCAAATAACAGTAATTAATTAATAAATAAATAAATATATATTTTTTAGAATTCTGTCTTCTGGGATGTAATGCCATGTAGCTTGGTGAAAGTCAACCAACATTTCAGTGGAACATATTGCCTCAATCTTCATAGTGGGTTCTTGCTTAGCTGACTGACCCTGAATATGGACGCTACATGTTCCTCTGAGAGTTTACTTTCGCTAGACTATATGGCATTATTATATCCCAGAAACAGAACTCTTCATAGACACTTCTGTGAGAAACTCAAGTCCAACATACTGCACATCGACTAACCTGTGTTGTTCCAAACTACCAGCAGATGTGGCACTTCGGCCTCGTCTCCGTGTCTCACGAGAAGGAGCTCCTTTCGGTTTGGAGCCCAGCAATTCTTGAACTGAAATTATATTATCTATTTTGTAATATAATAAAATACAATTTTAACTGTAATAAACAAAATTAGATAATTTCTGCCTTTTGAAAGGATGATTACTCTTGTGCTTCACACCAAAAACAGAAAGATTTCTGGTAACTGCCACATCTGCACACATTTCCAAATTTTCATTTTAAAAATGCATGAGTGTCCTACGATACATAAGAATCCCATCCACAGTCCATTATTAAAGTGTAATTCAAGTGGGTATCTGCCCACCCTCAACAAACTGAAAGGGTACAATTAATGGTTACAGTGGGACCCCCATTTAAGAATCATCCAAAATCAACATCTCCGGGTTAAATTGCTTCCACTTCAGATTTTCCTTAGTTTAGAGTTCAAGTCCACTGCTCCAAAAAGTATCCATAAATGGCAGTTTCAATGCATGTTTGAAAATTATAGTTTAAAATTTTACATTCTCACACAGTATGGTCCCTTCACGAAATTCATGGATAGTTCAATTTCACACACTTCAAGGCATCAAATTTTCAGTAGTCCGGATCTATCACAAAATTTATTGTCTACAAAACCTATGGTACTGGCTAAAAACTCACTGTCATTTGAAAAAGTCTGAAAGCCAGCAATGTAACCTTATAAATTCCATGTATTACAGACTGCGCTGATTCTTATTCTTCCATCTTTTATGTTTAAAAATAAAATGACATTTTCTTAAATATACAGTCAGCGAACTTAGATGAAATTAAAGACATTTTGTGTGACCATAAAGTCTTATAATTTAAATACACACAAAAAAAAACCTCATTTCTCATTTTATAAACTAAATACGATAAATTTGGCTTGATTTATCACAATATAATGTATCCAAGTGTCCTAGGAGAGGAAACACACTAACAACACAATCACACCCAAATGACATACATACTTTGCCTCTCTTCAACAATCTCTTGTCTCCGGTTCTTCAGCTCCATTGACAAATTTTCAACCATTTTGTCTATAAAGTTATCCACGACAATGGACTTATTTTGAGATCTGATACATTTTCGACAGATGGGACAAGTGTTCTTCTTCTTCATCCATTGAACAATGCAATAATGGCAGAAAGTATGAGTGCAGTTCAGTGTTGTGGCCTGTGAATATAAATATAAATGACAGTAAAGAGTCTTTAGAGTATTCATACTTAATGACGGGATGCCTAGTTCTGGATCAAATGAGTAGCAACATGGTAATATTGCTGCATTTTGGGTTCTCATGGCACTATATTTTAAGAGGATGGGTTTATCTGTTGTAACACCATGTAGTCTGGAGACAGTGCAATGTTTTGGAAGAAGAAAAAATGCCATCAGGCTCCTTCAAAATTACCTGGCATTACAAACCAGAAAACTGTACTCACCATAATCCCCATTGTGATAACCTCAAATCGAACAAATTATACTTTCCTTGAGCAACTAAATGTACAAGTACAAATCCCTTGTGTAGTGGTTTAAAAGTGCCAGATGATCTTTCTCCTTCCTCACATGTTTTCTTCCTGAAATGCAGGATTTCAAGGTCTGTTCTGATCCTACCAGAAATGGACCTACAGGGACAGGATGGGTGCTTATGAAATATAGAACATTCACTTCTTCAATAGAGATGCATTTCTGAATGAGCTGAATCTGAAATGAACTCCAAGGAACAGAGTTCTTCTTGATAAGTTAATATTCACCCAGGTGGCCAAGAAATCCACCATCCTTTGTAGAACCCAAAGGTTTACTGCCGTGTTTACCTGTCTTGAGCCAGATGAATCTGCATTCACGTACTGCTCAAATGACTCCTTTATGTCATTATTAAAAGGTTTCCTGAACCTTGTTTATTCTGTTAGTTTGATAGGTTTCCTTGTTTGTTAAATAAATGCTGTGTCAGACATTGTCCATCGTCTTAGGTATGTTCAGCACGTGATGTTATGGAAGCCAGAGCTGCTTGTATCATCACATGTAAGTGGGGAAAGTACTGTGCCCAGTTACGTCCATTTAGAGAAGCTAGTCCTAATCACTGGGCACTGGCATCTTCTACTAGGTCTAGCCGAGTAGTATCCACTCCCCAATTTTCACCCAGCAATGGAAGCAGATCCAACTTCTAGAACATCGTATATTTTAAATTTACTTGACATGATGGACTACTGTCGAACACAACATTCATATAATGAATAGACCATTGTCACACACCTTCAGAGGATCTTCCTTGTTTCTATGTTTATGCTTCAAAAGTATGGTCATAGGCTGCAAGGCATACATTACAATGGGAACAAATTTGCTGATGTATGTCATATTGCATCTGAGCATAATGTAGAATGTATCTATCAGAGATTCAGATACTTGGATTGAGTGATACCAGCTTCACATCTAGTCACTTACTGAAACAAGAAGCTCACTGCAGATACTACACTGCAATTCTGTTTCTACCAGCTCTCCAAAATTTGTGAGTACATCCTGCTTTGCCATGAGACACGATTCAGATGCAACTTCTTTAGCCTTTGTAGTACGTTCCAGTTCTTTTTCAAGGTACTTCATCTTCCCTTCAGTATTAGACAGATCTGTTTTCACTTTCTGAAGTTCTTCCTGCAATCGTTTCAGTTTCTCAGCTGATTCTCCCTCTTTTCTAGACAATGTTCCTATAATAAGAATTCCATCTACAGTAACACACAACAAGCTTCTTTGAAAGACCCTGTAAATTACATTACCATTCTAAGACACTTTAACATTTACTGGAAAGACAAGTAATTTATGTTAAATCAATCTTTTTTAATGACTGCAAGTCATACCAGTGTGAATGTGTTATGTAACAAACAACACGGAAATCCAGTAAAACAGGTAATGACAAAATATTTTGCATTTTGGCCCCAAGTGAACATACCATTAACCCGTTGCCGTGGTTCGTCGTGTATGGTTCGTCAGGGATTTAAATCGTCTGGGGGGGTTCGGCGTGTCTGTTTCGTCCAGCTGCACACCTATGTTATAACGCCCATAATAATTGGTGGTTTTGCTGTAGATTGTTAGATTTTTCGCTGGCCTGTTGTCACAAGAACAGAGTATACTAAGCCAACGAGTTTAGCTGAGATAAGTCATCGTTACATATGCCTGTCTTGCAGCAAAATTCCTGTGGCTCTGGCGAGCGGATTCTAGCTGTACCGTTATGAAAGGCCTGTTTTCTTTGCTTTGAAGATATAAACAACCGAGACGTGATATTTACGATGTTGATAATATCATATTACCCTGAGCTGGCCACAGTAGCACACTCAATTGCAATTCTTAGAAGAGGGTTGTCCAAAATTTTATTCTCGTAAAATCAATTGCTTTCGCACAGTTCATAGCACCCATTTCTTAGAAAAACGCCACAATATAAGGCAGGACACTGTGGTCACCCCCTGAGACGATACGGATGTGTGTGGGGGAGGGAAAAGTACTCATTCCTTCATAATCATCGCTCCAGTTGACGTCATTTTATCGTACTGACCTTGGTGGTCGTTTCGAGGGATGACCGTAAATATCGGAGCGAGGAATGTGGGGCACCGTTGGGTTACACGAATGCTTCAAGGCCTTCCTTACACTGCTCGAATAGATACCGGGCGCTCATATTATAAGGTAAGTTTATAAAAACCATCTTTTAAGATAATTTTAGTGAAAGTTTCATGCTTCAAGGCGTCCCATTCACTGCTCAAATACTAAACAACCTGCTTCCATTGAAGATATAAAGGGCGCGCATATTATAAGGTAAGGTTATAAAACCACCTTTTAAGAGCATTTTAGTGAAAGTTTCATGTTCCTATCTCATAGAATTTAAGAACAATGATGAATAAATAATTTTCGAGCAAAATTTAAATGGCCGGCTGAATATATTACCGCAGGAGCCGCGGCCGCGGAATTTAAATTACCACGTCAAAGGGTTAATATCCTGAAGATACTATTTATGCAGTTTTTATTTTGGGAGATGTTGAAAACGCGACAAAACTGTTGAACTCGACATTTTCACTACAGTACTTTTTCATACTACATGTATGAGAAAGTAATAATGAAGATTAATGGAAGAACAGATTATTATACAGAAAAACAGTACCGACATAAATAGAATGAATAACAGATTGCCTGAACTTTCATTTCCTTACAAACCTAAAGATTATTTCATTGTTAGAGTATATACCTCTTATATCATTCTCTATTTTGAGTTTTTCGTCTTGTAGACTCTGAATTTCTCTTGCCAGCTGAACTTTAATAACAAATTCCTTTTCTGTGACTTCTTTTACAAGCTCTTCCAGCATGATTTTAGTCTGTGCATCTTTCTGTTCCTGTAATGGTTGTTACAAATTTCATCAGAAAACTTGCTCTTCTCTCACAGAATAATTTTGAAATTAATTTATGTTTGGATTCAGACAGCTTACCAAATCTCTCAATCTCTGTTCCTCTTTCTCTTGCAGTTGTTTGTTCAACATCTCTTGAGCCCTGTCCTTTTTTGCCAAAAGGTTTTGCATTTCTTTCAACTTTTCTTCTAACAACTGTTTTTCCTGAAGAAAAAAAAACAGGAACAATTTATTAAATAGATTTCATGCAGGCTTTTTCTTTCCAGTAATATATCTTCTTCTGTTATTTAATAAGGAAGAGTCAATAGTTCCCCTTCTTAAGTACCATGCAATAAAGGCTTATGAGGGTGTGAAGATAAAGCATTATGCATTCTTAACCTCAGCACTAGATGCACAATAAGCCCACTCAAACACACTGAGACATAAGGCAACTTCCTACATGCATAGAAGCTGAGCAGTGACTGTGAGAGGGTTAAGCAAGTTCACATGTACACTGTATGTCACACTGGGGACTAAAAGTTTAGTAAGGAAATTTAAAAACAATTAATTAAAATTAACTTGGAAATTTTAAGATGTTATGTTATAGACACAAATGTATAATTTAAAACAGTACTTGTAGAAGTTTTCCCTCAGCAATTCTCCATTCTTCACACTGTTGTTTCAACTCTAATTTCTCTTGCAAAATCTTTTCCCGCTCATTGTTCCCCGACTCCAGCCTATCTTGCCGCCCTCTGTTCTCCTCCGGGTGCCACCTCTCATGCTCCAGTTTCCAGTCTTCTAAACCACTACACAGCATAACAGCAGTATTTATCAGTAACGGTAAAGTTGTCCCTGTGTTTAACTAAGCACTACACCATGAAGGTGTATAGGGAAGGTGATGGAGAGTCACATATTCTTGACCCTGGAGGTAGTCAGCTTCATACCCTGGGGAAAGACCCCTTGTACCCATTGGATAGGAGGATGGGTGGGCCCCAGACTTGGTCTGGATGACAGAGAGAGGATAAAAATCTCACCCCTACAGGGATTCGAGCTCAAACACTTCAGCCACCCAGCCCACAGTCACTATACTGACTGCACTATCCCAGCACATGTATTTATGATAAGTATATCAATTTACATGTTTTATAATCACTAAGCTTTACAATGACATGCAAGTATCCTGAACAATGGAATATTCAAAATGTTCCTGCAAATAGATTTTGAATTCATATATAAGGTAGAACTCTTATCAGAACAATTTGCACTGGTACATTTTAAATTTTATGGTCCCAATTCTATAAAATATTCTTAAGGTCATTTATGCTGGTATTTTAGAATTAAATATTTATGAATGCAATATGCTACAACAATAAAATAACTAATGACTATAATTTTTAATGTTATATTTTAGCGTCCTGTTGCACTGATTTAAGTCCATGATTTATTTAATCCGTCTTGCAGTGCATACACTCATTTATTCCCTTCTCTCCCTCGCACTACATGTTTCGGCATAATAATGCCATCTTCAGGTGCTTACTTATCCACGTCAAACCAGTTCATTGCATGCCATGTTCACACATTAAAATAACTAAAATATGTATCTATCATATACATTGTCAAAGATTTACATTTGGATTATTTAGTTGGTTGAGGCACTATGCTACAAGTTGGAAGGTTGTGGGTTCAAGTCCCGATGAGGTCATTGGATTTTTTTCAATTGACCTAATCCTTCCAGTCGCACTATGGCCCTGGGGTTGACTCAGCCTCCAATAGAAATGAGTACCAGGAATATTCTTGGGGGTAAAGGGTGGCTGGCATGTAAGGCTGACAACTTTGCCGCTATCTGTGAGCCGATGGTCTAGAAAATGTGGGAACCTCAACTCCACAGCCTGTTACAGGGATAGCGTGACGCGTAATGCTGTCACCCTCATCACCATCTGTGAGCCGATGGTCTAGAAAATGTGCGAACCTCAACATCTCACAACCCTATGAGCCTCCACGGCCTGTTACAGGGATACCTTTACTTTTTTACTTTGATTTAATGGCAAGGATGTGAAAGCAGTTCTGACCCAATTTGGGGTACTATTCTGGAATTTGCCTAGAGGGACAGAAGAAAACCATGAAAGAACCTTGGTGAGGTTAGCTGGTCTCTTGGCAGAACTGAACCCACAATCTTCTGAAGACAAAGCACAAGTGCTACCCACTCAGTAATCTGAAATGGACGAAAGGAACAAGCAGGGAAAGTGGGAGACAGAGAGCAGGCATTTCACAATTTAGTTCTCCGTGGCTCATCACTGAAAAGTAACTGTTTAAATTTCAGTTTCTTTTTTCAGATTAAACATAAATGATGTCTGGATCTCAAAGTAAGAAATTACAATCTGCTGACTGTGTACAGTACAATTCATTGCTTAAAGTACAACTTTACAGTATAGTGATCTGTTATTTGCTCACACAGATGCAGAGACAGATGATGCCACATGGGTGGAAAGCTAGAAATACTTAACAAATATCTATGTACTTACAAATTTTCATCCAGTCTGATTTTCTTTGTAGAATTTGTGGAGACATCTTTTGTAAAGAACACATACTTAAAATGACTGCCATTGTCAAATGCAATCGTATCACCATCTTTTATCAGAGATGGTTTATCTCTCTCCAGCCTCTTATTATTCACATATGTTCCAAATGTACTCTGAAAATAGTTTTGTTGGGATAATATAAACATATGAGCATAAAACCAACTGAAATTTCAAGAGGAAATTGTTTCAGTTACCAATATCTTACTTGTTTACAAAGCGCTTATTTCACTGTGACCCATTCTTATATGTCACAGCCACTGAGACGCTCTGAATGTGCATGCTATGAACTTCAAAAACTTCTGGAAAGACAGCTATATTTACACTAAGATACCTTCCTTCTTTGGGAGCATGTGGTAGCATAGTTGGTTGAGGAACTATGCAGGATCAAATCTCGATGAGGTGGATTTTTTCAATTTACCTAATCCTTCTAGCCGCACTATGGTGCTGGGGTCAACTCAGCCTCTAACAGAAATGAATACCAGGAATATTCTTGGGGGTAAAGGGCAGCCAGCGTGTAAGGCTGACAACCTTATCGCCATGTGTGAGCCGACTGTCTAGAAAATATGGGAGCCTAAACATCTCACAACCCTATGGGCCTCCATAGCCTGTTACAGGGATAGCTTGACACGTAAGGCTGACACCCTCACCGCCATCTGTGAGCCGACTGTCTAGAAACTGTGGGAACCTAAACATCTCACAACCCTATGGACCTCCATGGCCCATTACAGGGATACCTTTACCTTTTTTACTTTACTTACCATCCTTCTTCATTGAAACAACGAATTAAGTTACATCTTTTTCTGTAAGATGGCACAATTTTGAACACAGAGCTGCCATCCATGTAATTACATGAGAACTGCTATGACACGAGGCCTGTAACTGTACGTCCCTCGCTAAAATTATTTAATTAAGGGCATGACCAATTTAGGCATTGTTTCACACCCTGGGAGACGCTCCTCTGGCAAGATACCATCCTGGGACCATCTAGCTGTAATTCAACATTGTCCCCCTTAGGCTTAGGGTGTCACTATTGTCCCTAACATTGCCAGTTTGCTCCTAGTGTCATAAACCCATGAACTGACATTGTGCAAGACTGGCCAGGAGGGGTCTTGGGTTCCCTGCTCGTGTGCCTTGAAGACCTAAAAAAGTTTATGGGCATCTCGAAAAATACGAATGTAGGACAGATGGCGGGCTTTCTCGTTTTATTTTCTTACTTTTTTGTGCCAATTGGGGACTTGTAAAGAGAAGGCAGTTATTTACAGGGAGCGGAGGTGAACAGTTGAAAAGGGAGTTACAGGAGGGTAGCTAGAGAGTGGCGTGTATGGTCAGTGAGCTGGGGGCAAATTGGTGTAAAAAGGTTAAGTGTGATGGAGCGGCTAGCTTGGAGGAAGATATATATGACTGATCACTGTATGAAATTTTAAATTAAGACTGCAATACACGGTGTGTTCTGGAGACCCTGGATTCATGAACCCCTAAGTGTGTTCCACTCCCATATCCGAAGCACCTGTATCCATGAGATAAAGAACCCATCTCAGGCAATAGTCGTGGCAGCTGTATGTCAGTGGGCGGGTACAGGCCCTAACATACACACAGTCAAATAACAGATTCATAGCCATAAGCAACTTTCTATTACGTACGTACATAGAATTCACATTTCTTCATAGATTTTTTTGACAAAATACAACTATTTTAAACATAATCTTGTGGGTCTGTTACCAAGATAATCTCTACCACAGACAATGTAGTGTCCAGAAACAATCATTCTATAATAGTCTTTATGATTGAAGTCTGGTTTTTCATGTGGATTTTTTTTTTTTTTTTTTTTTTTACTTTTCCTTTTCAACTATGACATCTTTTAATCACACCCTAAAATGGATTACTCATAAATATTATGATTAATGAGATGAATAAAAAATCATCAAATACAGATTACAACTTAGCATGTATTTAGCTTTGATTATTTACATATGCATATTTTATACAGTAAATAATTATAACATTACATCTCACCTTATCACACACCGTCCATATCCCATCCTTCCTCTGAAAAATGCAGTGAGTTTTTGAAATCATAAGATTGGAGATTAGGAATGACGATGTTTTGCCACGACCAACAATAAACTGAAATAGTTCAAAGATTAAATAATTTCATATGTATGGTAAGGTTTATAAGAACAAAAATGAACCATAACCACAATGAGGCACTTCCATTAACCACCATATATGGAATCAAAATATCAGGCTGGTGATCAAAAAGCATTTATTAAGAATAATTTATCAATTCCACCAAACAAGTAATTTTTAACAAGGTTACATACAGTCTTCTGGGATGTGGCAGGGTCTTGTTTCATAGATAGGTACTAACATTTTGGTGGGACCTACTGCTTTCATCTTATGGGTAGCTTGCTTTTATACTGTAAAGATGGAGGCAGTGAATTCCTCCAAAATGATGGCACCTGTCTATAATTCTACATATTGTCACATCCGTGAGGACCAAAATATTGATATTTACTGCTGTGAGAACCTCAAATTCCACAAAGTAATTATTACACATAATGATAAGAATGTAACTTAAATTATTCAAACAATGTAAATTTATTAGGAAAATTTCCATGATTGAACTGTTAAACAGAAAAGTCCAATGCTTCAAACTGATCATTATGTGCAATATTTCATTAAACATTTTGTCACAAATTGTCTGATGGGATAGTGCAGTTGGTATAGCAACTGGCTATGGGCTGGATGACCGAGGATTCAGAGTTCGAGTCCTGGTAGGAGCAAGAATTTTCTCTCCTGCATGTTGTCCAGACAAGCTCTGGGGCCCACCCATCCTCCTATCCAATTGGTACCACGGGCTCTTCCCCTGGAGGTAAAGTGGCCGGGGCGTGAAGCTGACCACTCATCTCCAACAGTGCCAAGGTCAAGGAAATGCGGATCTCTCTCATACATCTTCATGGCGTAATGCTTAATTAGTTAAGCACATGGCCATCTTTACCTTTTTTTTACGCACAGTTATTAGACACCATAGCTGCACATTTTATAATCACATGTGATACTTCTTTTTACCAAAAGAGAAAATTCACTATATGATCACATAGTTAGCCTGCAACTCCTATAGTATCTGACTTATTATTATAAAAAAGGTGATTCAAGCTTCCAGATTTCATTTTCTTTCTGATGAAATATTTCACTATTACTGACCATGTCAGAGGCAGAATTTTCTCTCTGTTATGATAAAGGCTGTGAAATATGAACTCCTAATTTGAAGTAAGAAAAATGACAGGGAATTGAAAACGAACTGCCGGGGGGAGGGGGGGAGTGGATCTTAGAGAGATCAATTGAGTGAAGAGTATAATATGTAACTTTCAGAATTACACAGCTTCCTAGTACTGTTAAAGGGCCATGCCATAACTCAGGTAATCATTGGTTTCTCAACATGACAGCCCAGTTTCAAACCCAAGTCAATTCATGCGGAATATGTGGTGGGCAAAGTGGTGCTGGGGCATGTTTTCTCTGAGTACTTCAGTGTCCCCTGCCAATTCTCATTCTACCAAATGCTCCATTTCCTTCCTCTATCATCTTGGGATGGTACAGTTGACCATTTAAAGGTCTAAGCACCAAGGGGCTTGATCTCATTTCACTCTAAGGACAGGAAAAGTGTTACAAGTAAAATTTCAGTTATAATAGGAATGCTTCAGATGAGAATAAGAAGTGCGTAAACTGTACTTGCCAGGAATCTCTATAGAGTACTGAGGAAACTGGTAGTAGTATTTAACATACTTTAGGGAAAGGAGTTTTGAGCCAGTGAGCTGGACTGAACTTGCTCGGATGGGACTTCAATGGCAGGGCTTCATTAAGTGCTGAACCTTTAGATTATATTACAAGTATTAATAAGACACATTTTCAATGGTGTTTCACCGTGGCAACAGTGTGAGCACCTACCACATTCATTTGCACCTGTTAGTATCTATAAAGCTAAACATATTTCAATAACATATGGAATGGTTTCATAATATGGTGACAACATAATATTTGATAATGCATTCAAGATCTACAGCTATATTCACCTGCGATATGTGGAATAACTTTAAAATATGAGATCAGTACCTTGTGCAGAATTTGGGGTGCATTTATAATTACTTGATCTAATATAAACCGCTTCTAACCTTACCAATTTTCCACATAGTAATCGAATTTGGGTTTTTATGTAAGGTTACTCTGCCTCTTATAAAGATGCTGGGAGATGCCATCCTCGGTTGCTAGCTTCAGCAGGGGGGCAATGATCCTAAGATGACTGTATTGTTCGTAGTCTTGTGTATCAGTTTGTACATTTTTAAGAGTTGTTGACTTGTAGTGTTTTAGACGGCTTAAACTTACTTATCAGATTGTACTTTTGTAACAGTTCATGGATGTAAATAAATTATGAATTATCAATGTTTCCTAAATCTTTCCAAACCCCACAAACTGGCGTGAACTGATATTTATATCATTACCTTAGTTGTAAGCAACTTACGTCTGAATGACTGAGATGAATTTTTGGATAATCACAAACGTCTGGGCCAATCAACACAGCAGCTTCAAACTCACACATTTTCTGGGCCGAACGTGGTGTAGCGAACTCAGTACAAATTATAAACCTCTCCCTACACCATGCATTTCATGTAGTATGCATAACCCGTTTCAGCCCTGTATAAATACTATCGACACTATGAAGAGCACATAATTTTCCACTTCCACAGTAACCGCTTCAATAAGGGCTGAATATTTGAAATTGATGTTATCTGTGAATCCGAGCGTCATCTGCCGTCAACTTCATGATCTTCACGAGGTTTACCGACTTTTACGATCTTTGCCAAGTAATCCGTGATCGTCCGTGATGGTCCGTGATCACAGCGATGACAGCTGTGACAGTTCGGGTTCCATCTTAAGGATTCAAAGTACTGTTGAAGAGTTAATAATAATTTATTTTAGTAATGTAAAATGAGGATCTATGAATTTGGGCGTATTTAACAGAGTAAATTACAACGCTAAGGTAAAGTGTATGTCTTACTAAGGTAGTTGAACGAAGTGTTCTTTAAATGGCAATTGAAGGAAGCGCATATAGACGTGTGGTATCCGATGTCATTGTTTCATAAAATGCAGTAGTTCGCGTTAAAGAATTTCGGTGGGAAATCAGGAAGGTCCATATGTTCGGAATTCCTGTTAGCAGCCCTGGAGACGAGAACATGTTTGGAATGTCGAAGTTTCCTTTTTTTGTTCTTGATATTGAGCACGTGGAAGCAACCGGTGTAAACGCAAACTATTAATTTTTTTAAGAGATCCAGAACCTTCACACTTTTTAACAGATGAACGAGTAGCAAGGTCCATCGAATGCAACAGGTATATTAAAAAGTAAAGCCTTTACTACAGACCAGCGTCAGAAGGCAAAGCCAACACTACAAAGAAATACGAGCGCTTTTCATGTATGATAAACCCAGCTTGTCATAAAGGAATCTCTACTATTGGAAATCGAGAGGAGACGAAAATACCAATGTAATTAAAGTAAGCTGTGTTAAAAATAAGAGACAGTAGCAGTTAAAATTAATCAGAAGTCGTGTTTTATGAGTACATGAACAGAGTGACGGCTGTATTTTCCTACTGCTGGTATGTAAAACGCCTAGCATGATTGGCTGTATGTATAATTTTGTGTGTTCCGGTGAGGGCCATGTTAATGTGGTGGATAAAGTTCATACCTCACAGGAAACAAACACTGTTTATTGTGAGAACCACATAGAAACTTCTGTGAGAAGAAAGCGGAGTTTTTGTATATTAAGATAGGTGGTACTTATAGAACCACCGAGCTTTAAAGGGTTAAAGTATTCATTTGATGGTCCGCAGGAGTCTGAGAGTGGTGGTATGTACTCAGAGTGGGCGTCCCTAACTTCACTAATTCAGAATGGGAATGAAGAGAGCCAGAGTGTGTTGGGGAAGTTCCCAATGGGATCTGGGAAAGAAGTGGCCATGGCTGTGGTTAAACAGCTGGCTGCTAATCTGGGTTTTGCTCAAGCAGCAGAACCTAGCCCCCTGACTACCGATCGGGAAGTTCAGTGGTGCATGGAGGCAAGTACTGGATAGAAAAAGTGCTGTGTAGTAGCTTTTACTATTAGTCAGTCAAATGTAGGAAACAAAGCACAATCACATGGACATCTGTCCAGAGAGAAAAAAGTGTTCACAGGATGAGCACAGTCATTATTGAGAATCTAAGAGTTGCTCCGATAGTTAAGAAATTCTATTCCTTTTGTGGAACCTGAAGGATTGTCACTGGTTTGAAGAGATCCTATTACAGGTCCCAGTCCTAAGCCAGAGGAGTCGTGTCCACTTCTCTAATCCTGTTTTTTTTTATGATCCATTTTAATATTAATCTTTCATTTATGCCAGATCTCCTGTAACATTTTTCTTGCTATAATTTTATATATATTTTTCATTTCTTCCAAGACTTCTGCATGCACTGTCCATCTTATCCTTGATATGACCATCTTAATAATATGTGGTGGAAAGTACAAATTACTAACCTTTTCATTATGTGTTTTTCTCCAGTCCCACATTACTTCCCGTGTCTTAAATTAAGATATTATTCTCAGCATCGTATTGCAAGCACCCTCAATCAGTGGATGATGGACCAAGTTTCATGCTCATGCAATGTATCGAGTAAAATTAGTATACTTTAATGATTACATTTTTGGATAAGAGACTGAGAGACAAAAGATTATGAAGTAATGTTATATTTTAGTGCGAGAGAGAGGAGGAGATAGATGAGTGTATGCACTGGAAGATGGTTGAAATAAATCACAATCATTTGCTTGATACTGTAGGTCATTTGCTTTGGGATGAGCCTGCCGCTGAATGAGCATGACACAATAAGGGATTGTGTTCATGTATACTGTGAATGGCTGTCAGCACTTCATCCAGTCCCTAAGGTCAGTGTTCCAAGGCCTGTGTGTGAGGATCCTAACTTGTATGCCAGGAAGATGATCTGTCACTTCCACAACCTGTTTGTTCCTCGCAAGGGTGAAGGTAAGCCCAACTGCAGGATTTTTACAGATACCTAATATTTTGTAAGATTTGAGGTTTTCACGGCAGTGACTATGAAGAAAGCAGTCTTCTGCGATGTGGCACCGTGTATATATTGTGTTAACCGATGTTTTGGAAGAACGTATCGCCTCCATCTTCAGGGTAGAAGACAAGAAGAAATCTGAGCAAACCAGTGTGAGCAGGTGCAACAGTCTGTTCAGTCACTCTTGTTTGCTCACGTATTTCTTCTTGTCTTCTACCCTGAAGATGGAAGCAATACGTTCTTCCGAAACATGGGTTAACACAGTGTCTACACGGCGCCACATGCCAGATGACTGCTTTCTTCATACCTAATATTTTGATTGGTTTACTTGTGCACCACTCTGCTTATTTTTAAAAATTAAGTACTTTTTTCTTAGATATTGAATAGAACATATATAAGATTAAGTGATTATAAGTACAGTGTTGAATTATTCATAGTTCTCGTAATTTAAGCTCAACACAGATGTCATTCTCATTTCCTTTTAATGGTATACAGGTGAAGCACTTTATTTCAACTCATACACTTTATAATATCAAGAAGAATGAAGATTTGCATATATTTGTGTATGTCAGTAAATTACTTCCCAAGTCACACAGAATGGTATTGTGTGTAAGCCGATTGAATGAGTACTAATATTCCACCATTTTTACAACATTTATTTTCCAAAAGAATGTTACAGAGTTGCCGTCTTGTAGTGCACTCAATTTCACCTGTTACTTCACGACATGTTTCGGCCATCATCAGGTGCCCTAATTACGCTAATATATTTCATTGCTTGCCTTTATAAAATTATTTTAAAAGTATTTAAAAAGTGCGTATTTGTCAACTATAATAAATTTACACACACTAAAACTTGTTAAGATTATTCATCTTATGTGTCATATATAAAACTTGTGTGTGGTTCTTCCACTATGGGGGTCATTTTTCTTATATTCTGTGTAAACCTGCAACGTGAAAAAAGGTAATTATTATTATTACTTTCGGCTTCTATCTGTTATGTGTTGTATTATAAGGTTTAGTACTCACCGTGTCTGGTGGTGTGTGTTTCCTTCTTAGCTGCGAGTGTTGTAATGTTGGATGTGTGTGTCTTCGTATTGATTGAGTTATGACGTGGTAGGGGTAGATGTGGTGGGGTTTTTGTTATGTTCTGTGTAAATTGTGTGTAATTCCTGAAATACTGGGTTATATATTTCCTTATTTATATTGTTCATGTGTGTGTTTTTCTTTGTTGTTCTGTATATATGTTTGTTTTCTAATGTGTTTAAATATTGTCCTGTCTTATTCGTTGCTATGATATCCATAGTATTTTCTATTGCAGGTTTACACAGAATATAAGAAAAAAAAAATAGTCTTTTGGAGTGCGATGCCATGTATTTTGATAGATACATACATACATTTCAGAAGAACCTCCTGCCTCCATCTTGAGTATGGAAAAGAATGTTTGTATCTGTCTACTGAACTATATAGCATCAAATCCCAGAAGACTTATCTTTATGTTACATGTGTGTTTATTTCCTGTGCAAACAGTGCACTGACTGAATTATTTTGTTTTATTTTCTAGTCTGGTCATTCCCTTACTTGGATCTAGGTAATGATAATGAGTAGCATAAAAGTATAGGTGTTATTGCTAGTGTATTGACCTAAGTTTTAACATATTCCTATTAAGGCACCCACACCTCAGGGAGGCAGGCTAGAAAAACATGTTGAATTATATGAAACAAATGTAATAATGTAAACTCTAGTCATGATTGAGTTCAGAAAGGCTGCTTAATCTGGAGGTAACCGGGTAACCTTATGTTTTGACTGAAAGTGCATCCATGGTAAGGTAAAGTTGTCTTCGTTCTTAACTAATTAAGCACTACGCCATGGAGGCGTAGAGGGGAGTGGACACATGGGAGTACTGAGACAAATTTGGACGAACAAATGTTATGAGGATAAAAAACTAAGATCGTAATTGGACAAACCTTCCCAGTTTCGGGGAAACCCTATTTCATGGTACGATGCTAAATTTGCCACAAATTAATTGTGTTCCACCATCAGTTTTAACAATTCTGGAGATGTGCATGGAAAAACATTAAAACTATGTGTGGAACACAGATTTAGTGTGTCATCATGGAATAGGGTGTCACGACACTGGGCAGATTTGCCCCAATGTTACATCACAGGCAACTTTGAAATATGGTGGCAATTTCTGTATAGAGTCCAATGACTGGGAGCAAAACAGATCCTCTCTCCACGATCTTTACAGGGATATTACAAGACCGGATCACCAGTGAAATATGGATATGAGAACAAAGTAAATGTTTCAAAGATTATTACAGAAACTGCACATAGAGTACAAATAGAATAGCAATGCAGACACTGTAATACAATTTGTTATGGTGAAGAGAAGGAGCTGGGATAGTGCAGTCGGTATAGGGGTTGGAGTTTGAGTTCCGGTAGTGTCAATTTTCTCTTCTCCNAGAAGAGAAGGAGCTGGGATAGTGCATTCGGTATAGCAACTGGCTACGGGGTGGATGACCTAGGGGTTGGAGTTTGAGTTCCGGTAGTGTCAATTTTCTCTTCTCCATGTTGTCCAGACCGGTTCTGAGGTTCACCCAGCCTCCTATCCAGTGGGTACTGGGAGCTCTTTCCCCAGGGTAAAGTGGCCGGGTAGTGAAGCTGACCACTCACCTCAAACTAGTGCCGAGGTCAAGAAAATGTGGATCCATACGTGCACCCATGGAAAGAATAATTAAGTGCAGGAACTCAGATGGGTTCTTAGAGCTCTTATGGAACTTAGCAGCCCACAGTGAGGTTCGAAGTGTGTAGCTAGCCCTTATCCTGATTGATTTGCAGCACTCTTTATGAAGGACATAATTTAACATTTGAACTCTAATAGTAATGTAATGTGTTCTCATAAAGATGTTTCGAAACTTATCTTTTATGTACAAACTTATGTGCTATGCTGTATGACTTTATTAAACAAAAAAATATAGGTAAAGGTAAAGATGTCTCAGCACTTAATTAATTAAGCACCACATGTTGAATGTTAAACAAATTGAACTGTGTGACAGGTGCGGACACTATCAACCGTCAGGCAGTCCTGTGTCACAGGGTGTTGCGAACGCTACAACACTTAGCTCAGGTTTCTACCAGCCTGACAAGAGAAACGTGGGAAGCACTATTGCTCTTCCTGCTTGCTATCAATGATACACTTCTTGCTCCACCCACAATAAAAGGTAATGTGTTTGTTGGCATTCATAGCATAAAAATATCTTTCTCACTCAATCGTTCATGGAGGAACCAAAGGGTTAACAACCAATATGTATAATATCACATAATAATTACCAAGAAGGGAGTATTTGTCAGTGTGTCATAATATTGCTAATAGTTGCCAATAGTGATAAATTGAACCAGAAGGTGTCATTGGTAAACTAGCATGGAAAGCACCTATGCTTGTATTCTTGACCTTTGCCAAAAAGTAATTATCAGCATCACCACTTAGTCTGTCAGTTTGTCCTTCCAGTTCACAGTGTGCATGTTCAGTGATACTGCAATTTCAGAGTTTTCCTCAAAGCCTGTAATGTGTGAGTGGATCACATGAAGTTTTATCTACATGGAAACCATAGCTAGAGATGAGAATTGTTAAGTTTGAAATTTTGATTGGTATTTCATTAAATCACATAGAGTCATAAGCTCAATTCCTGACCTGGTGAATTGTCAGTATTCCGTTTCTGGAATATAAATTCTGGTCTGCAACTTTTTAGCAATATGATGTGAACAGTATTACTTAAAATTGTACAAGCTTTAAAGTCTGATAAGCTACTTTTTTTCCCCCTGTCATGGTGTTTGCATTATGCTTATCATTTAACAACCCATTCACAACTTTAGAAAAAGTCTGAGGTTAAATTAAATACCTGAGGGTGTTTAAGAACAGGGTATTGAAGAGAATATTTGGACCGAAGAGTGATGAAGTGACAGGAGGTTGGAGAAAATTGCATAATGAGGAGCTTCATGACTTGTACTGTTCTCCAAGTATAATTAGAATGATCAAGTCAAGGAAGATGAGATGGGCAGGACATGTAGCACGAATGGGGGAGAGGAGGAATGCATATAGGATATTGGTGGGAAAGCCAGAAGAAAAGAGACCGCAGGGAAGACCAAGGCATAGGTGGGTGGACAATATTAGAATGGATCTTAGAGAGGTAGGATGGGATGGTATGGACTGGATAGATCTGGCTCAGGATAGGGACCAGTGGAGGGCTCTTGTGAACATGGTAATGAACCTTCGGGTTCGATAAAATGCTGGGAAATTTTTGAGTAGCTGCTGAATTGGCTGCTCCTCAAGAAGGGCTCAGCTCCATGAGTAAGTAAGTAAGTAAGTGAGTAAGTAACCTGACAAGGTGGCAGCCTTAAATTGAAAGAGGGATAACCTTGGATTAAAATAAAAAACAAGGAAATGACAGTTAATATCCTGTTTCTAATTTAAGCAATAATTTGATCTTTCACAAGTGAGAATCCCATTAAAGTGCAATGTCTGTGCACTTCAACAACATGTATTTCAGTTACTAGTGATGAATATATTTCTTATGACTCCATACATCTTGTCGTTGATTTTGTCATCAGTATATTGATTTCCAGATGATGTTGGTGATCAGCTGTGTGAACGTGTGCTTAGTGTGCTGTTTGAGGTATGGTTGCTGGCATGTGCTCGATGTTTTCCATCACCACCTCTCTGGAAGACTTTCAGAGAAACATGCATGAACTGGCGGCATCGAATCGCCCTCATCGAGCAGTGGAACCGTGTTAATCTAGCCCTCACTGCCCGACTTCTTGAGTTTATGTATGGTCCTTCCTTCCCTGAGTTAAAAATACGTAAGTTTCTTCAAAATCATTTCTTTCTGCTTTCACTCACTCATATACAGTGGTAGGAGAACAAATTGTCATTATTAGAAAAATTAGCTTCAAGATTGTGATTGTTAATTGTTTTCAGTTGTCCTCAGTCTTAAAGAATAAGGTTTTGCAAACCTGTTTGTTCCTTCTTTGTATGCTGCCTAAGTGCTTCAACAGTTTGCCCTTTTTTGCATGAAGTGCAAGAGTGNAGAGGAAAAGAGCGGTGTTAAGAGTTACCATTTCATTTTGTTCTATTCTACAGGCAAAGGGCAAAATGAAATCTGAATATTTGAATCATAAAAGGGAATATGTGGAAGTGAGGTGTTGGAAATAATTTGTTTTGTAACTTAGCGTAGATTTTCTGATAAAATGGAGGTGGAATTAAGATCAAATTGGCCTCAATTTGGAATTTGTGATATGTGAAACTGCTTGGGATAGAAGCTTCATGGTTCTTTTTAACATACTTTTCCTTCCTTAAGGAAGAGGTGTAGGCTTATGAGAGTGCCATACAGGCTGTATGTATGTGTGTCCTTTACTCTCAGCTTTTGAACCAGCTGACAAGAGTTGCATGAAATGTGATATGAACAATATGCCATTGGAGACCACTCCAAAGCCATGCTTTTCAATTTCCTGCAGTTAGTCATGACAGCATTGTGTACACACAAACTTGTGAGGTCGAAGCTACTTGATTTAGGGTCCTGAAATGATGCATGGTAACAGATCTTGCAAGAAAGGTGCAGCTGTTGTAAGGTAATTTTTTTGTAGAATTTAAAGAACAACTTGTGAATACACATTATATGAAATGTTGTTCGCAAATCAACAATTACTGCTAGACTGGCAATACCGTGTAACTTTGAGTTTATATCTGACAAATTTAATGTATACAAAACCTATATGTAAAATGACATCACCATTTTAGGTTTCTTTGTGAGGCAGAGGATTTGAGTCATTGAGCTGAAGAAAATAGTAAATAGAGGAAGTTTATCAGTGAGAATAATAATATGGAATCATTGAAATTGAATGTTGAATGAGTGGAATTAAATGGGAGATCCACTGCAAAAAGTATTTGCAATAATGAAGTAACAGTAGGAGAAACCTGTACACTAGGAAAACAGACTTCATGAGTTGTGCGGAACTCCCATGTTTGTTGCTCTGTATTCCACCAGTATTTTCATCCATTTATTGTTACCAGCGTTGCCCAGTTGATGCAGGGTTGATGCTGAAGTAAGAATTGTCTGACTTACAGCTGAGGAGGATGCGCAGCTGATACCAGTTGGAATGAGTAATGATTGCATTGCGCAGAGTTGGTTTCGGTTCCTGCATTGCCTTGGCAATCCTGCAAACCTCTGCAGACCGGCTGTGGTCTCACAGACTCAGAAATTTCTCCAATTTGCTATCACAAGTGAGAATGTCATTGATCCTTGTCAGCATCCTTGCCTTGCTGCTCTGCCACTTATCTTCCTCAAAGCCATCAAGGGAATTGCTGGGCAAGTGGATGCTTTCCTAGGTAAGGTACAGGTCTTTATAAAATAGCATTTGCTTCTGAATTTTGAATGCTGTTGAATTTGAGGTAGTGAGAATGTCATTAACCACTTTGAAACAAACTGCTTAATAACTGCGGTAAGTTAAATATATTTGTTAAGCTGTGACCCTGTTGCCTAGTTTCCCTTCCTGGAATATTAACTGATACGTGAGACACGATGTCTGTGTATGTGTGTGTGCACGCGCTCGTGTGTGCATGCTTGTGAGAGAAAGAGAGAGAGAGAGATCTCAAGTTCTCACAATAGTGATTATTATTGAGGTAATGGTCTTCTTGACAGACAGGTGGTAACATGTCAGAGAAACGTACTGCCTCTTCTTGCCTGAAAATGACACTGCATGGCTCCTCTGAAGATTTGGGACTTATCTACGAAGCTAAACAACATCATATCCCATACATGGTTGTTATATCTTATGTAGCATTTTTTCCAGTAGATTGTGAACTACCCTTTTCTTGCTATCTTGTAAGTTAGTAACTGATTTTGTAGCAGTGGTACCCTCCCCCAGTTATCACATGTTTTGTTCATTTCTTTAGCAGAGAATAATCATACTGCTGCTTTTGATTCTGCAGTAGGAGAATCGGAATTAGTTTAGAAATTATATAATGCAACAGAACTGTAAATCATACAGTTGCTGCAATGGTTCACCTAATCTTCTATATTGTTTTCAATTTACGAGTAGCTGAAACGAAAGGATTATGATTTTGTGATATTCAGATGAACCTGTTGTCTCAGTTATCCTGAAGACAGAGGCAGAAGGTTTCTCCAAAATTTAGATATTTATATACTAGAATACATGGCATCATGTCAAAGAAAACCATAATCAAATATTCACATACAGTTAGGAAGAAGGCTTGTTTTTGCAGGTTTTCGGAGACTTAATTTGACTGAGTAAAATGTGAAATACTTGAGACACCTGAGAAGCGTCAGACTTCTGATTGTCTTTTGAGAATAAAGTCAATGTATATGGTTTCAGAATTGAAGTTAACAAAGTGCCCTAATATTAGAGCTACAGAGGGTTATCTTGTGATGGGAGAAATTAATGTAAGTAAAGTAAAGCTATCCCTGTACCAGGCCGTGAGGGCCCATAGGGTTGTGAGACGTTGAGGGTCCCACATTATCTAGACAATTGGCTCAAAGTGGTAAGGGGGGAAGTGAATGTACTGTAACTTATCTTTGAGAAGTTCGCAGTTCACGTATGTAGCAGAGATTAACTAATTAGAGAGTAAACATGCTATGAAAAGTGACTTTGCTGATGGAAAAGTGAACTCTAGTGTGTAGAAGCCAGATCAATATTCTCTTGCTCTGTACAAGTAGAGTAGCACTTCAATTACATTACAGAATTCTCTGAACTTGCCCAAGTACACATTTATAATACTGTAACTTGGCTGATCTCAAACTTGAAGACTGCTCAACTTTCCAATGCACACATTTGCTTTGCACTGCACAAATGGGGGTTTGAAACTATCAGAATTTTTGGAGTTTTGTGTGTAGTGACATTGGTTTCCTCATTTCACAATAAAGTGTAAGTAGAAAGTGTGTGTATACATACCATTGTGTACTTTGTCCATATTTGTTATTGAATGGTGATTGTACAAAATAGATCAAAATTCAGACTTCATTATATTCCTCCTGAATCTTATTTCCATCTACCAACTGGCATGGTATCGGATCCAAGAAACAACAGTCACAAGAGCCTCAGATTTCATATATAGATGAGAATTTGTAACACAGATATTGATATGCTATAAACTGAAGGTTTTTGTGTAATTCACTTGATCTGTGGTCAGTGGTATATCAAAAACCAAAATTGTACACTTCACAGTAAGAAATAGTTATGTAGTTATTTAGTGTGTCAGTAAGTAAGTTACATAATCAATCAGTAAATGAGACAGCGAATGATGTGATCAATTGGTAGGTCGGACAGAATGTTTCTTAATTCCTCTTTTTATTTTCATGCCTAGGCACGTAATATTTAAAACATCTGGTTAATTTATATTGGCAATAGGTGAATAAAGACAATAAAGACAAAAGAACTTTTATATGTATGCTTAATCTTCTAAGGCAGGATGGTTATCATGAGTACCATCTGCTTTAGCCATAAAAAGTTCTGTATTTATATGACTTTCACATGAGTCCCAGAAAATAAACAACAATTATTTCCCTAAACATTAACCATCTGGTTTATTACTGGAGATGCTGTATGTTTCTTGTTAGACAAGAAGTGAATTTTTAAATATTACATATGGGACCGCCTCTGTGGTCTAGTGGTCAGAGTTCCTGGATACAGATCCAGAGGTCCCGTGTTCGATTCCCGGCACTACCAGTTTTTCTGAAAAACAGTGTGTCGGGAATGGGGTCCACTCAGCCTCATGAGGATAATTGAGCTATTTGAAGGAAAGAATGGCTCCGGTCTAGAAAACCGAGATTAACAGCCATGGGGATCCATTGCTTTGACCATGTGACATCCTCTATCTGAAAAAGTAAGCATTAACTTTGCTGACAAGCAACGGTTGCTTGGTCAGTATAGTTCACTTGCAGGCTACAGGCCACCGAGTTTGTTTTTTATTGTTTTTTTAGGTAAATTTCCTGCTTTCAAGTGTTAATCTTTATGTTATGCTGTACAAATATGATGCTTTATTGTACAATCTCTGTTCAGTTCTGTTTTGCTACTTGTGTATTGTTCTTGCAAGTGTACATATTTTGTGCTGTGTGGTGGTGGGCATGTCTATGATGTTGTGATTGCAGGCATTGCTCAGCCTTACTCGTGGGAGGAGTGTAGTAGCTCGTCAGACCGGGACAAGAAGGAGAGTGGCGTTTTCTCCCATCCTACCTCTGCTACCCATTCCCCTACTCCTCCACCCCAGCGCCGTCTCGCCAAGAGCTTTAGTGTAGCCCCTTCAGCAGTCACCAAGGGTAATTATGGCTTTCTGTTGCTGGCTTCACTACAGCTTCATCCTTGCTCTTCATTCTTTACATCCTTTGGTCTTCTCTGTAGCATCTTTTTAAGGTTTTGTTTCACCTCTCTGCATTTGTGTTTAATTCTGAACTTGACTATTTATTTTAGTACTTTGTTTCATGTAAAAGTAGCATTATTTTGCTTTCAGTATTTTTTTCTGTTCCATAGTAATAATTAAGATGCTAAATATAAAAGAAACCAATGTCTGTAGAAATGATGTACAGTATGGTTTTAGTTCACCTTTTAAAGGACAGGTATAAATACATCTCACTGAAGTGTTAAATATTACCTAAAGCAACATATTGACTTGATCCTACTTTGCAAGTGAATGAGTAGCATTACTGCTTCATATTCGAGAGGCCCTGGGTTCAAATATCAGCCAGGAGACCGTCTGTGATGACTTGAGGGTCTTTGAGGTTTTCCTCAGTCCCCAGGATAGGACATTAAATTAGGTCATGATCACTTCTTCCACTTTCCTTATTCTGCATTATTCAGTAATCATTCTGTCGCTCGAGACTGAAAAATCAGAACTACTGTGGGCATCACTAAATAAACTTAGAATATACTCGCTTATTCTGGCACCCATATAAGGCATGCGTTTAAAGTCTGGAATGTTATGTGGTAGAATAAATGTCTGTAAATTATTAAATATTGGAATGTGATTGACAGGAAAGTTTTGCTTTAAATGCATATGTATTGTTTAGGTATTCCAAAAGCTTCATTAATTGGCCTGACCAGTAGCCGAACTACATCAGTCTCTGCGGCGTCAAGCGGAAATCCGTCATCCGCCCTGAACTCTGGCCCCTCATCTGCTTCAAGCCTTAGCTGTAAGTCTGTCACATGTGTGTAAAATGTTCTGGTCCTTTAATTTCAATTTATTGAAATAAGAGGGACGTTCATATAAATATATGTTGCAGCTATGGTGTCTCTAGGGGGAGATTCTCGTCCTCCTCTTGCCCCAGCCCGTCCAAAGTGTAACAGTATTCTTCACATGTTTGGTGAATGGTTATTTGAGGCGGCTCATATTGGCTCAGAAGTTGTATATTATGGAAAAGGTCCAGTACAAAGTAAGTACTTGTTTGTGAGTTCTGGATTTAGCACTCTCAGTAATGAAAACAGAACTGTCATACCACCCGCGAAAAGCGTCTTTTTTATTGAGCTGCACTATGATCGTGGGGTTGACTCAGCCTCTAACAGAAATGAGTACCAGGAATATTCCAAGTGTATATCCATGGCCTGTTACAGGGATACCTTTGCCTTTACCTCACATATACCCTTTGCATTCTAGTGAATATACCTTATACTGGTAAGTGTGTTGAATATTGTTGGATTGGACATTCTCATGGCAGTGGCAATGAACCATGTGGTTTTCTGGGTTTAACACCTTGTAGTTAAGGGGGAGCCTGATGCTTTTGAGGAAAATATCACATCTTCAGTTTGAAAAGTAAGATGAGCATGAAACCACCAGAAGCAGGCAGCAATAACCCAGAAGACTTTACTCTTCATGAACATGTTTCTTGTTATTCAATAAATTTCACTGGTCCACCATCTCACATGCAATGCGTCCTTCTGAAACTTACTTAAAAGTTTCTTACACATACAAAATATGTCTTAAACCACATGTAAAAGCTTCTGTGCTTTGCACTACATGTTTCAACTGACATTGGTCATCATCAGATGTTTAAACATTGTTGGAAACTGCTGTGCTTCCGTTTTGTGATTCTGTTTGATGTGTAGTCCCATCTACTTGTTCGTGTATTTTATGGTGCTCGGTGGCTCTTTCTCTTGTGTTCTCTATGTAGACAATGAGTATTTTATAGTGCTGGGCATCTGTTGCTGTTGTATTGTGTATCTAGACAGGTCACCATAAAATACACTGGTGCAAGATGGGACTACGGATCTAATATTCACAGATAAACAGACAGCATGGAGGTCACATAAGCCTACTTTAATTTTTTCATAATAAGGAAATGAGGCGAGAAAGTTACAAATGTTGTTAGTTAAGAAGTTTTATTAAAATTATGGAGACAGTAACCATCTCTCAAGAGTTCTGCTTACTTATTTTGCAGGAAATGAGGCCAGCGTGAACAAGCGGCCTAGTTCCCTACAGCTGGATAGTCGCAAGGCCAGCCTTTCTCTGTCACAGCCCGGCTCACTGACTGATGAGGCCGATATTCCTCCTGCTCTCACCATTGACAAGTACGAAGCTGGACGAGCTGAGGCTCTTGGGGCACTTTGCTGCATCTTCTGTGCCAAGAAAACAGGAGAAGAAATACTTCCTGTTTACCTCGCTCGCTTTTATCTGGCGTTGCAACAAGGACTACATATAAATGAGGTGAGAAGCATCCAGTATATGGCTGCCTTTGAATGAAAGTTTAAGTGTATAGAACATGCATTGCTGTGTTTAGCACAGGTGGCTCTCAATTTCTCTCTTAAGAACTGTCTATTGAGAATACTATAATATATTACATCAGGATTTAAAACATTTGTCTCCTTATAGGAACATCTAATACATGTTGCTTAGTTAACCATTAGAAAGGTGCTACTCGTAATTCAGAATTGTAGTGCTATGTACTTTTTGTTCCCTCCTGGCACATTTTGTCTGAGACTAGCTGATTTTTATTTTATCCTTAAATTATAAGTGATTCTGTATTTCAGCATCCTGTTGCACACCTTTAATTTAATGGCTGTATATTAAGTCCGTCAATAATGCAACAAGCATTAAAATATTCACCATTTAACACTAACACAACATGTTTTGGCCACAGACAGCTATCCTCAGGTGTTTTGATGCATCTAAACTGTTACACTGCTTTGATGCGCCGTAAAATTGTGCGCTGCAGTCCACTTAAAATGTTGAACAAGTTTGTGTCTTCCAGTTTCACTGTATCTTGCAATTGTCATTTGCAAATAATATAATAACAAAAACCTGTATATTGGTTTTAGATATATGATCAAACAAAAATATGAATTTAACACTGTTAGTGAGAGTCCTCTGAAAAATAAATTGATAAAAGGGAAATTTTATTTAAGCAAGTATTCTATCATAAGATTTCTGTGAGCAGTAAACTGTGGTTTCAGTGTACAGCATCATAACCTCTGAACACAAATTTCGTTTTTGTGTCGCAGCCGTTAATGTGTTCAAGGTCCATGACCTAATTGAGAAGAATGAAGCCATATGAATCTTTTTATACATAGTTGTTTACGAATGCTTTTATTTGTAATATTATTGTTTTCGTTGCTACTGTTAGAACCGGGAATGCAGTGAAACTCTGGCCAGCATCTTGCTGAATTCGGCTGATTTGTTCCGGCTTGACTTGGATGGCGTTCAGGTGTTGCTTCCACACTTCATTGATGCACTGGAGATTGTTCTTCCCGAGAAGGAACTTAAGTTGAAGTGAGTGTGTGTGTATGTGTGTGTGTGCACATTGTGTGATTTTAATTTTCTTCCTTACTCTCCTTTTCTTCCTGATGAGGTGGATTTTTTGAATTGACCTAATCCTTCCAGCCTCACTGTGGCCGTGGGATCGACCCAGCATGTGACAAAAAGGAGTACCAGGGATCTTCCTGGAAATAAAGAGCGGCTGGCGAGTAAGGCTGACAGCGTCACTGCCATCTGTGAGCTGATTGTCTAGAAAATGTGGGAGCCTCAACATCTCCCAACTATGAGGGCCTCCATGACCTGTTACAGGGATAGCTTTACTCTTAGTACTTACTTTTACTTTCCTTTTCTTTGTTTCTTCCATTTGTCCACTCCTCCCCCTCCCCCTTCATCCTTTCTTCTTTGCTGTGAAAACTGCATTACATATTTGTGTTCTTGAAATTAAATTAGTACAGATAATGTAATAGTTGTAACTGATTTAATTTTAAATGCCTAACTGTGTAGGTCACCATCAGTATTGAAGACGGAACTGCGAAGAGCCTCCATTCATCTCCTCCTCTCGATGTTGGTTCTCCCACTGCATTTCCAGGTATGAGCCCCATTAATCCGCATGAATAAAGATCTGCATCTCTAATCTACCGTGTAAGTGAATAAACAGATGTTAATTCGCAAAGCTTAAGCATGTAGGAATCTTGAACTTTCAAGATCAAATTAAGAAGTACATCTAAATCTCTTTTTTAAGGCTGTTTTTTCAGTCATGAACTTGCAGGCAAGAATTTTTGGAACTGTTTTTGTAATGTGTGTTAGCATACAAACTACTCAGTCCATTAGGATGTAATGGTTTGCAACATACCACTGCCTCCTGGTCTCCTTGAAGCCATATTTAAGGGCCATCTAGCAAAATTAAAACTTGTGCACCCCTTAGGATGCTGGATTTGAGAGCTCCAACATGTAATATGAAGTTGATATGTATAATGTACACTAAGCCAAGAAGGCATATGGGGTAGTGGATGTATAGATCCACATTTTCCCTGACTTCGCCGTTGGCTGCAGGTGAGTGGTCAGCTTCAGGCTCCCTGCCGCTTTATACCCCGGGGTAAGAGCCCCTGGTACATATTGGACAGGAGGCTGGGTGAACCCCAGAGGCAGTCTGGACGATGCGGAGAAGAGAAAATTCTTTACCTTATCGGGTCTCAGACTCCGACCCCACAGTTGCCTAGCCCATAGCCAGTTGCTATACCACCTATGCTATCCTGGCTGTATATGATGTATAAATATAATAAAATTAATAGGTACGAAGCTATAATTCTAGCAGTAGTCTCAATTTTCGCTCATGTTGGTGTATGAAGGGAAGCAGTTAATACATCATTAATGTTAACGGTCATTTTTGCAGTTTCATTTGAATGTAATGGAAGCTATTATTAATGATTGTATGAAGTTACAGGCATGCCCTAAGCCATACCTTATTCATGTTTCAATAGAATTTAACCATTAAAGAATTTGGAGGAGGAAGTTCAGAACGAGGTCCACTGACATTTGCGCAGCTCAAACCTCGTCTTATGAATTTGCTGATAAACGCATTGCAAGTGGAATCAGACCCACAGAATGCTCAGATGTTGCTAGGTAAGAGGTTTCACTTGTTTGGTTACAATATAAGTATATTACACTGTCTTACACACCCAGTTATTTATATGACTGTCTTTAGATTATGCACAGTGCCTCTTCATGTGCTACATGTTTCAACTTTAAATAGAAGGGCAGCATCAGGCCATACATATGTGTATATATTGTCACATGATTGAGTGACTGTAGACCGGGTGACTCAATTTATTTACCACTTACAGATTGTAACTGCCGGTAATTATGGCACTATTGCTACTTTACAAATCACTGGAGCACACCCTCAATCTTCACAGTCTGCTGTCACTAATTGTTTCCTGGTAATAGTTCCTAACAATGGAGATTCTTCAGCTTCTGTCCTCACATCATTGCATGCTCGCTAATAGTAACTTGTGCCTCATTCATCCTTGCTCTATAGCCTTGGCATGGACCACATAGAAAACTCAATTTCCAACAGTTCCTCTATTGTTACATGTGGATTTGATGCCTTGGGAACATGTTTGCTTGTGAAGATGGTGCTCAGTAATGGCTCATATTTGCATGTCTTGCGGTCGTTGCCCAGCAGTGGGTCTGCATGCTGCAATATCTATTTTAAGGGAAGGAGAGTAGATTAGAAGTAGAGTTTTGAATATCTGACTGCTAGATGTTTGGGAGTGAAGAACACTTTATCCTATCTGTGGGGTTTGCATTTTCAGGTGGTCTGCTTCTAAGTGTGCAGGATTCTGCTATTGCTGAGGAAGTTGAACCAGTGACACAACCAGACACTTGTCTAGGTAGTGATAGCACTTCCAATATCTTGTCGTCTGGTGAGTGTGATAGAGTATTTATCATAACTGTGTACCACTTGTGTCTGTACTTTGTACAATATTGTCATAGCATCATTGCTTTATATTCTGTATACATTATGAATGAATGTATAAGGGGTGGGCCTTCTCAGCCCTTGCACTGTGACTTGCAGTGATCTGTTGTGCTGCATACATTAAGTATGTATGTTGTATGATTTCATGAAGCTGGTCACTGAAAGCATCCGGATGAAATCTCTCGCTGTTTCATTTTGTGCACGTGCTCAGCCCAATACATTGCTTTGCTTTTTATTATATTTTAAGGTCTCAGAGATTTTAATTTCCAAAATATGTCAACTTAATTTTCACCTTTTATATAAATTGATATGACTGCTATTTTAAGAGAGAACTGTATTTGAACCTGGGTACCTTTCAATTTTGTTTTGCTTCTTTTCAAAACTGTAACTGTTCAGTGTTGATCTCAGAAGGAAACATGAGCTCATGTCTTGAGTGTGTAGCAAGGTAAAACTAAGAAAAAATGGATACACAGTGAAAAGTGTATTTTATCATGAACCCTCAGTTCACCAGGCAAGAAAACTTTTTCATTTTACAAGTTTTGCTCTGAAAGAGGCAGGTGATATTTGGTACTTACTAATTTGAAACTGTAACAAAATATGGCATTAATAACATGCAAGAGAATGAGGTTATGTGTGTGTTGTTGCTTGCTTAAACCATATTTTAATATAATTTTACAGTTTTTATTATTATTAAAGTCTCTGATTTTAGGAGGAATTAACAGATTTGAGGTTATCATATATTCAGGTAAATGTGCGGTATTATAATGAAGTAATAGTACTTTAGGTATGTAATTCCATGTTCTGAAATAGAAGTCATGACTCAAAAGTTGGTATGCAAATATGAAAGCCACCAGATGTAGGCAAGTATAGTTATTCATCCTAGTTTTCTCATCAGCATATGTAAATTGTCAATTTCTAGTGTCAAATGAATATATATGATTTTGCACATGTAGTGTTTTGTTAATATAATAACTAAATAACAAACCATAACATTCCCAAACTCACTTTTTTATTTATAGAGTTGGTACATTTTGGAAATAAGTAACTCAGCCCTTGTTTGTGTTTGTGTTGATAATGTCAGTAATTACACTTGTTACATTGTGATGTCAGGTTTTGCTTTGCTGTGGAGGAAATGCTGTTTCTTTCTGCTTTCACCTTCCAGCCTATAGCTTTTGACACTTCACTATTCTTGTAAGCCTTTTCACCATATGCATTGGTTACTTTATCTTATCTAATTTGTTCCTTATCAGATTTTTACTTCAAAGAGGTTTGCACTGCACTGTTGACCCTAATGGCTTAATTTTGTAGGTATTATAACTATTTCAGGCTAACTTTTTGACTGTGCTATCATGATTTATTAATGTTTAGTCATAATTTAACATAGTGTATTTATGTCAGTTTGATGAAGCTTTACACTTGAAAGGAAACAAATAGAATCTTGTGACTTTGTCCAGACATTATGAAACAGTTATGACAATTATGGAGTATTGACAATTCCAAATTTTGTGCGACTTATTGTCAGTGTACTGACAGTATCATTTCTTAAGGTTCCTCCATATGTCATCAACCTAATCATTCCTAGGACAGTTTAACTACTTCTCCAGTGTACTACCACAATACCTGAGCAATAATGGCTTAAATTTCTGAATATTGGTAATTGGATTTTTTGGGCCCTTATAATTTGTAACTACACATGACACCCCCACTAAATCTACACATTCTACAAATCACTCTGGAACCTCTGCCTCCGGGCTTAGCTCCTTTCCGGCTGGCGACTATCCCACAACTGCTCACAACTCTTGATGGTTCCCCTTATATAACATTGGTGCAGACCGAATAGAAAACACAACTTCCAACAATTCCTGCACTGTTCTGTGACATGTTAACTGGGCTGTTGCCTAGTGATGGCTCAGGTATTTGTTGATGCATGATCATGTTTATTGGTTTCTATGGAAATGTGTTTCTGGAGCCATTGCCTAGCAATGGATAAATTTTTAGGGTCCTTTATTCTGGCTTTCATCTGTCACATCACAGTATGATCATCCATTGACTTCACCAAGTTTGCAGAATTGTTTCTATTACAGTGAATTCCCCATTTATGGAGCAGTGAATTTGAACACTGAATTGAGCAAAACCATAACTGGAAGATATTCGGCACTGATGTAGACTATAGATCCTTGAAAATAGTTAAAAAAAAAATCCTAAAAGGAGCACTATACAATAGATATTCCACTGTTCGTTATTGGAGTATATACTTCTTTTATATATGACTTCTGTCTAGTCGTACAAAATGTGACGGAATTGTTTAAAGTGTTGTGTAAATGCTGTTTCTGTTATGAACAAACTTGTTTGTATCATTGCATGTTTCTGAATGTCTACCCAGGAACTATAAAGAGAAAAATGTAAATTGTTTCTGTCATTTATCAGCAAACTCCCAATACTTTTTCACTCATTAAATTACTATTTTGAAGTGTTTGAAGGTTAACTGTTTAAACTCATTCAAAATTGTATGCATCTAGTTTATATACTGTATGCTGCATTTATGTCATATCTTTGTAGAAAATTCCAGTTCATTCGGATATCTGGTCCTAGTATTGCTTTAGTTTTGTATCGGTCAATGGACAGATCTCTTCTTTCAACCCACAGTCTTTCCTTTCAATGCCCAACACATCTCTTCTTGCTGTCTTCCAGTAACTAACTGAACCATCTTTTTCTTTATCATCCCATGGGTCTCCTCTCTTGAAATATGAGTACTAATTCTGAATTCCTTCTCAGGATCCTTGTTATATTCATATTTTATATGGTCAAATCATTGTAATAATTTCTGTTCTAGTTCTGTTAACAACTTTTTGACTCCAGCTCCTTTTCTTGGAGTTTATTATATAGTTCTGTCCCATCAAGATTTTCTGTCAGTGTTTCCCAGAACTTTCATATCCACTCCATGTATATTGCTTTTGTTTATCTCTGTAGGGGGCCATGTTTCAGCATTATATGTTAGTATCAGCTTAGAATAAACTATTAGATTGTTGTTTTGGGATCATGTGGTATCTATTTCCCTGATACTTCCCTATTTCTGAGCTATTGTATGGCCTAAGCCTTTAAAAAAGCAATGATTGTAATCCTTTATAAACTGTTGTGTTAAAATCCAAACACATTTTGTTTAAAGGCCTAGCATAATACAAGAAGATTCCAAATGTGTTCTTAGTTTTCTGCTGAAGATATCTGTGACCTGCAAGTTGTAGGAGGTGACGAGAAGGGAAGTCTCAAATCTGAGACAGTAAAATATGGTCACAAGACCCGAGAGACTCTGACCCGAGAAAGACTGTGTTGGTAAGGTCCTGGAGCATATACGAAAGACAGACCCATCCTCTCATCAGAGAGGACGTCCCACAGAAACAAGACCGTAACTGTCAAACAGTAATAAATGTCTGGTCATGAGCCACAGGTGGGGCTCGACACCAAGACTTAGTGACTGACTGACTGACTGACCAACCAACCGTCAGTCCAATGGGACTTTGACTTTGGCTGATATTAGCTTGGCTTTTACACCATTAGCAAATCTTTTTATATTTTAAATTGCAGTGTTGAGATACAGAGGCTTGATTGTGTCTTCTGGAACGTGACACTGTGTAATGAGGTAGAAGTTTACTGACTTTTGAAAGGAACTGCTTCCTCCAACTTCAGGAACTAAGAGTAAGTTAGGCAAGCAAGGAGAGTAATCTGAACATGGCTTACTCATAGACCCCGAGCATGGAGGCGGTACATTGCTTTAAAACGTCAGTGAACTTCTATAATACTACACAGCGTGACATCCCAGAATCCTTAATCATTGCTATGAGACCCTCAAATCTTCACAGGTTTATTTCCTTTCCAGTTCTATGACTGTGAACCACTTCTGTTATCTGCTGTTACAGTTCTTACTGTTGGAAGTTAGCCTGAATGTTGTTTTTTTATGTTACTTTTGTTATGTTACTGTATCTATTGTTGTGTTTTCCCCAGTGATGTGTTATTATTCTGTTCTTTGGCTGGTCCATCCCTAGCTTCTGATACAATTAGCTCACTCAGTCTTCCGAGTGATTATCGCAGCGTGAGCCTCGGTGGAATGGATGATGTCTCACCCGAGACTCAAGACCAGTCAGATGGCACAGCATCAGCTGGGGCGTTTGGTAACATGATGTTCATTGACTTCCCGATGATTGGACTGAACAAAAGTAAAGAAACATGCACTCATCCTGTCTATTTTACTTGAACTTCAGTTAGTCGTTGAAGTTCATGTACTTGTTGAGTGTTGCCAGAAGTGTGTGGATTTATATGATTCATTAGTTTACTAATGTGCATGTCATTATTAACCTAGTTCTTTGTAATTCTGATGAAGTTAGCTGTTTCTCCAGAACTTATTTGATGTGTTATTGCATTTTTTATATTTTAGTCACTCAGTAGACCAAAATGTAAAGGTTTGATAGATAAAATGAGCAATATTTTTCTAGAGTCCATTATTGTATGCTGCTTTGAGAATTGGAACTCAGTTGTTTATGTTTTTGCCAGTATTCAGATTTTATATTAAGTGAAAAATGGTCTAGTGGTCAGAGTTCCTGCCCACAGATCCAGAGGTCTGGGATTCGATTCCCGGCACTACCAGATTTTCTGAGAAGTAGTGGATCTGGAACAGGGTCCACTTAGCCTCATGAGGATAATTGAGGAGCTATTTCTAGGAAATAGTGGCTCCAGTCTAGAAAACCGAGATTAATGGTCGTGGGGATCTGTTGCACTGATCACGCGACACTCTCTATCGATTAAAGTTGGCACTAACTTCGCTGCCAAGCGGCAGTTGCTTGGTTAGTATAGTTCACTTGTGGACTACAGGCTACTGAGTTTGTTTGTTTTACTAACAGATGCTGGTCACTCTGCATGTGTGAGATCATAATTAATTAGGCAGTTCAAACTTTTTATCCTACTTCTTTAGGATAATCAACCAGAAAATATGACCATACTATTTCTTTATTTATTTATTTGTGCAGGCATAATTAGAAACAGTATTTAAATTGGGTAGAACTGTTCCATTTTCCATAAGTTTGAAGATTGTTGAGTTTATTATCATCATCATCAACTCTTAGAGTTGTATAATGTTACATATTTTGTAGCGTTTCCTAGATGTTTCCTAGATGTGGTAGTAAACATCACTCGGCATTTTAGTGTAGACATTTTTTTATTGCTAGTGGGGTGGGACTAAGTCCCTTGTACTGCGGCCACTTCTGGCCTATTGTACCAGCCCCAGATGATAGGTGAAGGTGATTGTGGAGCAATTGGTGGAATGAAGATTGGCAGGGGAAACCGAAGTACTCGGAGAAAACCTGCCCCAGCGCCACTTTGTCCACCACAAATCCCACTTGACCAGACCCAGGATCAAACTCGGGCCGTCACGGTGGGGAGCCAGCGACTAACCACTTGAGCTATGGCGCGGCCTAGTGTAGACATTAGTACTGCTTCTGTAAAATTGTAGGTTTGATTTTTTGGTCTAGAGACCACCTGCCCTGAGTTTCTTCAATGGTTTTTCTCAGTCTCTCCATGTAAATACTGGGATAGTACCTTAAAATGAACCATTATCACTTCCTTTCACCTTTCTTCCATCACAGTACATCTGTGCGGTTGAAAAGGTGTTGCTGAATAAATAAAAATCATTTGTACTGAGGCATATATAGGACATTGTCCGTCATCTCATTTTGGTTAAAGAAACCCCAGCATTTCAGAAATGTATTCTGTCTCCATCATCAAGTAGAAATAGACACCTACTCAGGCCCACTAGGGCTAGCTCAAGCGGTTAGTCCATGGCTTCCCACCACGGTGGCCCGGGTTCGATCCCATATCTGGTCAAGTGGGATTTGTGATGGACAAAGTGGCGTTGGGGCAGGTTTTCTCTGAGTACTTCGGTTTCCCCTGCCAATCTTCATTCCACCAAATTCTTCATCATCATAATCACCCGGGGCAGGTACAATAGGCCAATCAGTGGCTGCCATGCCAAGTGGACCCAGCTGGACTCCACCTATGCAAATTTTTTAAATTAATTTTAGGCCCACTAGATAAAGCTAATCTCTATGTCCAGACCTTTTCCATGCCATATAATAATGTGAGGGCAGTGACACTTTAGTATTCATACTGAAAGTGTCATTAAATAACCCACAAAAAACGAACATCAACTGAAAGTTAGAAATTATTAATACCATGCAGTGTTTGTAAATTTTGCAGTTAATTGTACATTGTTATTAGCAATTTCTGAGCAGCTGAGGACTGTAATAATATTAATGAATGATATTGATTTAACAAATAAATACTCATCATTGTCTCATTTATGTGTTCTTCTATTTGATTCTATGTACAATTGAAAGTATTCTGTGTGTGATCCGTTTGTGGTCCGTATTGTACATGTTGTGTCTAGTATAGTCATGTCAAGGAGTAGAGCTGGAGAAACTGCAAACAAGCATTTTCAAAATGAAGGCTGTAGTTAGTGTGCTAATATGTTTCACCTTCACTTAATGCAATTACAGCAGTAATATTTAATTTACTGTATTTATAATTTACTTTCTGCTTATGTAATAGCATCACTTAGCACAGTTCATAGTTACCACTGAAGTCGCCCTTTTTCCTGAATAAGAATACTAAGAGTCTACAGTAGATTAATTTGGTTGGTTGGTTACTTTTTTAATATTCTCAAGAAAATGTCCTTAAATGAAGATAACTACTTTGTAGATAAATTCTAAATGATTAAAGGGAGAAATGGGACTAATTAATAAATTTCATACTGTACATAAAACAGATCATAATTTCAAAATTTATTATTTTGTAAGTTCATATTCAGTGTATGTTTTTCTGTACTCATATCGTGGTCTTTCTACAGATTCTGCCCATGCTCTGTTTGTGCGTGCAACGTACCTTGTATGTCATCGATTGATCTCTTCATGGAAGACAGATCTCAATGTATCACTTGCTGCTTTGGAGCTGCTTGCTGGCTTAGCTAGGATCCACATTCGAGAAACAGGTACTATATAAGGTTTTATGTAAATATGTGAAATTTTGTTATACAAATCTCACTGTAGGATGTTTTTATCTTACTGTCTTTTTAAAATTTTATTTCACTGTTTTTTGTGTTATGTTTCATACTTAATATTTGTGCACTTATTGTAATTAAAGTTATTTTAAGTAGCATGCAGTGAGCCAGTGTAGCACAGTTGATATAGCAACTGGCTTCACCCCAGATGCTCGAGGGGTTGTAATGCAAGTCCTGGCAGGGGCAAGATTTATCTTCTCTCCATGTTGTCCAGACAAAATCTGGGGCCCACCCAGCATCCTGTCTGATGGGGGCACAAGGGGGGTAAAGTGGCCAGGTCATGAAGCTGACTACTCACCTCCAACTAGTGCCAAGGTCAAGAATACGTTTATCTATACTTTCATTCCCCCTGTATGTCTTCATGATGTAGTGCTTAATTATTTAAGGCCAGGGATGACTTTCCTGTTTTTAAGTAGCACAAATTTACTACATGAGAGAGGCCATGCCATAGCTCAAGCTGTTAGTCACTGGCTTCCCACCGCGGCAGCCCAGGTTCAATCTCGGTTCTGGTCAAGTGGGATTTGTGGAGGACAAAGTGGCCCTGGGACAGGTTTTCTCCAAGTACTTCAGTTTCCCCTGTCAATCTTCATTCCACCAATTGCTCCACAATCACCCTCACCTATCATCTGGGGCTGGTACAATAGGCCAGAAGTGGCCGCAGTACAAGGGACTTAGTCCCACCCCACTAGCAATAAAAAAGCTACATGTGAGGCATGAGAACATTCATGAGAGCCTTCCTGTGTGTGATGTCTATTCAGAGAATACAGAACAAGAAATTGAACTTCCAGAGTTTAAATACTGGTTAGTTGATATATGCAATACATTATTCAAACATGCTTTATACTCTTGTATTTCCTCTGTTATCTGTGAGATATTCCTGAAGAATGATTGGCCACCTACTGCCCATACAAAATCTCTTATAAGAGGGCTATAAAAATCAAATTTGTCCTCTGTAGTGAAATGTTCTTTCAGGTATCTTGAACTTAAACTGAACAGATGAAACATAAAGTAGTGGATAGGAAGGATTTTTTTCACACTTCTGTGCATGCATGTGTGGTGCTTTTGAACCTGATTGTACTTATTTATGGAAGTCTACTCTGTTGTGTTTCCATACATAGTTTGCTATCTGTGGTCTTTATTCTCTACCCATATGAAATGAATTATTGCTTTCTTTGATAAAAAACAAAACATAATGATGACATTTCTATTGCATGCAGCCAGGAGACTCACAGGTAAACATGGTAGTAATCTGTCAGATGACAGGTCCACAGTCTCTTCCAAAACAGTTCCTCCACTTAATGCGATCCAGAGCTTTCTCCTTCAAATAAAAATATCCTCTTCTGTCCCCAAGGTCATCCAGCATCTTCTTACGTCTTCTGGTTCGCATACATGGTGTGTCTGTTTTTGGAAAAAGACTATCCAGGAAAAGTGATAATGTGGTAGTTTTTCCATTTGCCTTCCACATCGCAACACAACAGCCATTCAAACCACTCTGGTCACGCCTGTTGCTATACACACAATATACACAATATATACACAATCAAAACATAAGAAGAATGACTCCCATAGCATATGAATGCATTACACACGAGTTTGATATACGACATGTAAGATGATAGATCTTAACAAGTTTTAATAAATAAATTTTATTATTGAATGATGGCGAACACATTTTATATCATTTTTAAATGGACACTTGATGGCAGGCAGTGCAGTGGTTTAACGTGATTGATACACCTGAGGATGGCAGAATGATGCCGAAACATGTAGTGTGAAGTGACAAGTGAAATTGTATGCACTAAAAGATGGTTATTATATACACATTATGAATACGAATCTGTGCAACAGGACACTAAAATACAACATTATCACATTTGAAATTCATAAAATGTCATTAAGATCACATTTTATTTAATTGTTGCAACATGTTTCGGCCCTACAAGGCCATCCTCGGGCAACTGTCAGTTGATTGAAAGTACTGCACATTGTCGTCTTTTGAGAATTTACTCCCACACTTCAGTCATGCTATTTTCATATTGCGGCATCTACTCTGTGTTCCTTTTCTGCGTAGTTTACCTTAGTCTGGCATATATCCCTCGTTTTGTTTCCCCTTTTTATTTTAAATTTACTGCTGCTGTTAAGTAGATTTCTTATTTTAAAACTGATAATTTTTGTGAGGACACCTTTATGATTTTTAAGGATCTGTTTCTACTGTTACCTGGCTTATCCCAGTTGTATTATTGCTTTCATTTCTATTTCTAATGTTCACACTATTTGTCTCTTTTCATATATTCAGTTGCTTTTGTTGCCTGCATGTGATCATCTATTGCAGATGCCCTGGAATGTAAACGTGCGGTGAAGTGGTTGTGTGACTACATTGTGTACCAGTGCTCACGTCCACCACCCGCACATTCGAAGGACCTTCACTCGACCATCGTTGCAGCATTTCAGTGTGCTGCAGTGTGGCTTGTGGCTCACCCATACCTGCTGGAGGACAAGGAATGCCTTACTACTGTTCTAGAAGTCGTAGAGCTGGGAATATCTGGCTCCAAGTCTCAAGTAAGCTGCACGGAAAGCTGCTTCACTGGGGAATGTCATTCAGATGTTCTGTGAATACAAGCTTCGCACCGGTAACATGGGATTACACTTTGCAGTACATGTTCTGCTGCCCATCGCATCTCTTTTGCCTTAAAGAATTATTCGAAGATGAGTTTCAAAACAAATTAAAAGAAGTAGATACAATGAAAGTAGTGGTGGTGGTGGCGGCAGCAGTTACAGTAGAACGGTAGTAGCGATTTGTCATTGTTGTCGTCATCATAGTTGTTATTAGTGCAACTTATGTTTTGGAAAACACTCTGCTAAAAGAGAAATACATGCAAAACAACTGAGATTACAGTTGTCTAGGGACGTGATGTTATGTAGTGCTTCTACTGCGAAGAAGGAGATGTCAGGTTCCTCCAGAACATTTGCATTTACCAAACTGTATGGTGTCCCATTCCAGAATGCTGATTGCCATAAGAACCTTGAAGCTTGCATATAGAACATTTTCTGCTATATACCAATTAAAATGACCGTTTCCGATGTTACAGTATCTGGCCTGCCAAGAGCAAGCAGCAGGCAGTCTGAAATCCCTGCACTCAAGTCATGTAGCCAATAGAACTGTTTAATAATTTACTGCTATTACGTATTAGTTTGTATGTTCAGTATTTTATAGGGAGACTGGCACAACAGTGATCCATTTGACATCTATTTGAGATTCAGTTGGTTTGAATTTTGGCTGGCATGCTATCTAACATGTCACAGGTTTTCCTTAGTTTCTCCCAGTCTCTTCTGTCAGGTGCCAGGGTTATACCTTGAAATAAGTCATTGTCCATCATTTTCTGCCATTTCCCTCTTATCACACATAATCAGCCTCCAGACTCGACGTCACATAACCTCTGCCGCTGATGTCTCATGAACCAAATGATGGGAATTGGGATAACTCAGTCAGTATGGCAGACAGGCTGTGGTGTGAATGGCCTGGCTTCAATTCCTGGCATGGAAAGATTTTTCTAGACAGGCTCTGGGTCCCACCAAACCTCCTATCCAGGTTGTATGGGGGGGGGATTTCCTTAGGGATAAAGTGGCCAGGGCATGAAGCTGACCACTCTCTTCCATCTAGTACCGAGGTCAAGAATGGTGGAGCTGTACCTCCCCTTCTCATACATCTTCATGGCATAGTGCCGAATTAATTAGGCACAGGGACAACTTTACCTTTTACCAACTGATGAGATGTGTTTCTCCAGAGGAGAGGCATAATGATGGTGTTTCTTGTACAGCGGAAGCCTGGCGAGCCTATTCGTATGAAGGATGAGAAGGAATTGAAGCCAGCCTCAATGCGAGTGCGGGATGCAGCCGAGGCTCTACTAACTATTATACTGGAACAGGTGTGTATAGTGCCTCTCATGCTGTGAGCTTTGGGAGTAGCATTTCTGGATAAACTCTAGGCTGTTTCACACATTAAACTTTCTGATTCACAATGATGTTTCACTAACTTCTGAAGGGTACAAATGCTGGACTGAAGTCATAGCTTGAGAAAACAGAAAAGAAGAATCACATGCTGGCATATTCCTTTGTTTCCAGCAGCCTTATTACCACCCATTGCCCCTTCTCCTCCTCCTCCCCTCCACATCATCTCTAAATATGTGTATATGCTGATATGTGAATATAACTTTTCTGTTGTGAATTTCTTTGATACTTCTGTACACGCAGATTGCCTCTGAAGCTGACATGCCCCAAAATCCATGCATACACAATGGAATGGAGGTTCTCCCCACATTTAGGAAGTTTTCTTCATTTAAACCACTTTTCATGCCTGATATTATAGTAACTGCTGAAAGAAGTGTCCTTCCACCATCAGCCCACATTTGACAGTAATGCAGCACATATTGCAACACACCAGAGTTTACCGCCTGTGATATGTTGACTAACATTCCAGACTTACATCTATATATCCTTCAAAGTGCATGGCAGAATTTCTGCTTCAAGCTCCTTCAAGAGATCAAAATTGCTTTAAATGCAAGGCACATGGGAGCTGTAGACCTCTACTGTTAACATGTCCATCCTAAACATACCATAGTCCCCCATTGTTCAGTTTTCTACACTGTGTGCTGCTGCGTTGTTCTGCTTCAAATGTGCAGAGCCCTTTCTACTTGAGTTCATCAGATTTCTCCAAAATGCTGTTCACATGCGGCTTTGAATTAGGTTCGTCATAAAAGAACATGAAGCTTATGTTTATTTAGCCTTTCCAATACACTGTACACCAGTTTTCTGATTATGTGAATGAATTTTGTGAATAACATTTTCAATGTGTAACAGCTGAGAATAAATTTGTGTTTCATTTGTGGGCTCAGTCTGACCCACCAGCCTTAGTCACCAGACCTCATAATCAGTAACTATGTCTTTGTCCCCTTAAAAACAGCAGTTGGTAGAATCCACTGTCTGAAGGATGAGAATAAATTAAAATGGATTTTAAGGATATGGGATTCAGATGATACATATGCATTGGACCACAGTGGGGTGGGACTAATCCCTTGTACTGCGGCCACTTGTGGCCTATTGTACCAGCCCCAGATGATAGGTGAGCTGTGATTGTTTAGCAATTGGTGGAATGAAGATTGGCAGGGGAAACTGAAGTACTTGGAGAAAACCTGCCCCAGTTCCACTTTGTCCATCACAAATCCCACTTGACCAGACCCGGGATCGAACCCGGGCTGCTGCGGTTGGAAGCCAGCGACTAACCGCTTGAGCTATGGCCTGGCCAGGGGTGTGGTGGTAAGTGTTCCTATTGGCAGTGGTACATCTTGAGGTCCTATGTCAGCTCAAGGAATTGATAGTGTATAATTGTACAGCTCACTTTGTTTGTAGGTTGGTTACTTCCCATCACCCTGTGGAGCAGAGTCCCTGTGGTCGTTACTAGATGAAGTGGCTCTCCTGAGACACTGCAACTCCTGGCCAGGGGGAGATCATTTGTCGAGAGAGATGGCTGTTGACAGGTTTCGTTACTTTGTTGTGGAGAACTCGACAGTGCTGGCATTGCTTGAGGAACCTCTTGGAAATGACCAAGGTAAGTCAGATCATTTTCTATAGGAATATATTACAGAGCGTCGATGAATGTTGCACCATAAATTGAAATCAGTACCCAGTGTTCAATACCCAGCAAGGGGAGGAGATATTTCTCTTCTTCACAGTGTCAAGACTGATTCCATCTGCACCCAGCCTCTTGCACAGAAAGGCATCTGGGGCATGAAGTTGACTGCTCACCTCCAACCAGTGTCAAGATTAAGGATGCATGGAGCTATACTTCCACTCCCTCATATATCATCATGGTGTGGTACTTAAGAACAGGGACAACTTTACCATTACCTTAATATTAGATGGAAATAACATTTGTTGTTGTGAATCGATTTCAGATCCCCAGCCAACAGTCACAGTTCTAATCCGGGGACCATTTGGTCGTCATGCATGGACAATGCAGCTGAGACATTTGCCACGTCATAAGTCTGGAACAAAATACCATGCACCTAATCCTGGGCGGCCGGTGCCAATGGCTGATGTCGGTGTGAGTCACGATGTGAAGCACCGGTATTTCCCTGAAAATGTGGATCGTATTCCACAGTGCAAAGTGTGAGTATATGCTACATTTATCATAGAAATAATATGTAAATGTTGTGTTTTTTATTGCTAGTGGGAAGGGAATGAGCCCTTTGCACTGCAGCCACTTCTGGCCTGTTGTACCAGCCCCAGATGATAGGTGAGGGTGATTGTGAAGCAATTGGTGGAATGAAGAATGGCAGGGAAAACCAAAGTACTTGAAGAAAACCTGTCCCAGCCCAACCATGAGTCTCATTTTAGACAAAGTTTGAGGTTTGTATGTTGATACGTCTTCAGGAACTTGTCTGTCTGTGTGTACAGGGACCGGTCCATTCCCAGCATGGAGTCCCTGCTCATGGATCCCAATGTAGCAGCAGAACATGCCCATCTGTCCCAGTTGGTAGAACAGCAGACTGCATTGGAAACTGCTGCAGGTCAACAGCGATGTAAAGAAACTGATGGCCCCTTCCCTGAGTGCACCCCACCCCCTGCCTGCCATGAGTTCCAGACTGCTCGCCTGTTTCTCTCACACTTCGGCTTTCTGTCCCTTGATGCAGCCAGTGTGAGTTGCTGACGTGTGCATTCCATGTTTTCTTCTATCCTAAGAAGCTTAATCTAAATTTGTTTTAAGGAAGGGAGGGTTGTCTCCACTTATCCATATGCAGGGCACCAGAATACAATTTTAATCAACTATCCACATGTGAAAATGGACTTGCCAACAGACCTTCAGTGTGCATGGTTATGTCTCCTGGGATATACCGCTGTATAGTCTGTGATATCACAGAAGATAGAACTTTCCGTAACTACCGCTTTGAGAACCTCGAGTCCTGCAGACCATCAGCATGTTTCATAGAAATATTTTCATGCTAGCCAGTGCTCTCCATGACTTTGCCTGTGAGAGGTGGACTACCATATTTCTGGAGCCATGCCCATATGTGCAGAATTTAGGACATATTCCTTTTGTGAATTTCCTTCTTTCATGAGAAATTTAGTCTCTGATCTGGGGTCCATCATCATCAAAAGCATAGCTTAATGTATTGACCTCTTCCCTTCCATCATTTGTCACATGTTTCTGACGTCTTCTGTCTCTTGCTTTCACTAAATCTGTAACAATGAAAGAAAGGCTCAGTTAGTGTGTATTCAGCCTGAATACAGCTGAACATGGGATCTGACACTCGGGGGTTAAACTAAAGATATATGTTTGCTAAAAACTGACTTCCTTCTCTGTAACCAGCCAAGATCTGGGTCAGAGTTGAATTCTCAGGCTAAAAAATCAAGGATGTGTTAATGCACTACCTGGTTGCATGCCACAAGGGGCAGTGATAGATGAGTATGGAGCTATAGTGAAGTGATGATTAGCAGGGGAACACTGAAGAAACTCAGAGAAGCCTGCTCTGGTGCCATTGACCATGAATCTAACTTAAGGTTACCTGAGATTGAGCTTGAGCTTGAGCTTGAGGTTAGCTGTTATGAGGTGCACATGTCTACTGTCGCTTATTGTATTTGGGTAGAAAACATATTGGATGATGCAGTTGATTCATTACTGCAAGGAATGTAGTTTAAAGTAAGTAAAGTAAAGCTGTCCCTGTAACAGGCCATCGAGGCCCATAGGGTTGTGAGACATCGAGGTTCCCACATTTTCTAGACATTTGGCTCGCAGATAGCAGTGAGGTTGTTGGCCTTACGCGCTGGCCGCTCTTTACACCCCCCCCCACAGCATGTAGCATAGTGCATCAACCACCTACACTACTGTGTGCCCCAATCAGTAGTGTACTTATAATATAGATATTATTCCAGAATGTTATGATATTAATGATAAAGACTGAACAAATTTTTCAAGCGTTGAGGAAACCCTCTTACGTTTTAACCCTTTGACATGGTCATTTAAATTCCGCGGCCGCGGCTCCTGCGGTGATATATTCAGCCGGCCATTTAAATTTTGCTCGAAAATTATTTATTCATCATTGTTCTTAAATTCTATGAGATAGGAACATGAAACTTTCACTAAAATGATCTTAAAAGGTGGTTTTATAACTTACCTTATAATATGAGCGCCCTGTATTTCGGCAATGGTAGTAGGTTGTTTAGTATTTGAGCAGTGAATGGTACGCCTTGAAGGATGAAACTTTCACTAAAATGATCTTAAAAGATGGTTTTTATAACCTTACCTTATAATATGAGCGCCCTGTATCTCGGTAATGGAGGNGATAAAGAAAAGAATGAGAGAAGATTCCAGACTTTTCTTGGACGATCCTGAGATTGCCATTGTTTTGTCAAGTGAAAAAGTTAACCTCTCAATTCATTGCGTTGTATATTTCTGAATTATCTTTTATTTCAGGGAAATGTGGGCTCACGATTGACAGCATTGAACACATCATTGGATGGTTTCTGTCATGACCTTGAAGTACTCGATAATATGAGCTCTCGTACCTGTGACACTGTGCATGTATTCTATGTTCGAGCCGGACAGAAGACTGCTGAAGAAATTCTTAGCAATGTGGTGAGTTATTCAGTAACTCTTTAATTGTAATATGGGATTCTTTTGTATCAGGAATTTTTACTACTGCCTTTACTTCATGAGGACAGTTGTTATAATTTTACAGCAGTCAGAATCAACAGTGTCTCCTCATTTCCTGGAGTTTCTGCAGTCCCTGGGTTGGTCCGTCAATGTTTTCCAACATCCAGGGTGGACTGGTCACATATCCACCAGCTGGAAGGTCACACAACCCACTTCAGGTAATAAAGTTTTTCCCGTTACAATATGTACGTAGCAGTGCTGAGACCAGTAATTGTTTGCTTCCATTTTTTAATGTCACACATTTTTGAAAACGGTAGTAATATAAAGATGGTGGTTATTTCAGAAAGGGTTAGGAAGTGATGTTCCCTATTTTAATAATTGAATGGAATGCTCACTGAAAGTTCGATGAGAAAATTTGTTGTTTCTCACCTTTGTCTGTAGTATGTATGTGGATAACCCTTCTCTTGATTAAATCTTACATATTCTAAACCTTGAGGGACAGTCACAGTTTCACTGAATATCGACACTATGAACTTAAGAAGTTCAGGAAACAGTCTAGTAGGATATGCATCGTAATAACAAAAGAGCCTGTAAGTTGACATGGTCCTCCCTCTTCGATATTTTCCTTTTATATTTTAATATTCAGAACCTATGGATTCTCACTTTGTTTATGCTTGTAACATGCCTGTACTGTCTTATTCCATTTTTATTCATATCATTATCATTCAACGATCCATACATACAGGTATTACACCCATTTGGATAGGGAAATTGTCAGTTTTACATGTAATTCTCGTGCATATCTTTGCAGTATACACTGTACCACCCTAATATAGGGCGTCTGTCATCTGAATAATATTATCTAGATCTGGTTACCATTAATTTCATTGTCTTTACACAAATACAACAAATTAATCAGCTACATATTACATTTACACACTTGATGAATCAAAAGACATAAATTCATATACAGAATAAAAGGAATGTTTCAGCAAAAAAGATTTTAATTCCTTTTTAAATGCTGTTATCTTTGAATACTCTAGAATTTTTTACATTTTATTCTCTCCTGGTTTTTCCTCATACACTTGTTAGATATCTTATCTCGGCTGCATTTCATCTACAGATATCTGCTTGTATCCGTGCCCTTATACTACAGTACTGTGCAGCTGGACTGAATAACGTATTTCACCCACATGGTGTCTGAATAGAAAATGATTTACAAGTACACCATCCAGTTGAGTTTAAAAGCACAGTTGACTTAACTGTCGAGAGCGTGGCATTAGAAACCAGCCGACCACCAACCATGTCATACAGTTGCAAGCAATGAAATGGTATTTGTGAAAGCTGCAGTATCTGTGTATTTGTTACTGTCAAGTTGGTATCTGTTCCCAGAGCAAGCTAGGGCCCCAAGCAAC